CTTCAAGACCCCTGGTTGTCTTCAAGACCCCTGGTTGTCTTCAAGACCCCTGGCTGTCTTCAAGACCCCTGACTGTCTTCAAGACCCCTGACTGTCTTCAAGACCCCTGACTGTCTTCAAGACCCCTGACTGTCTTCAAGCAGGCACTAGACAGGCACCTAAAGTCAGTACCTGATCAACCAGGCTGTGGTTCACCAAAAACCCTCTCCAGGTACACTCAAGAATATACAGGTTAATATCGATACAAAACCTTTAAATAAGCGACCAAAACAATAAACGATTACCTATAAATATGATATAGTGATACCTGGTTAAAGTGACCATCGACTTTATAATAATTATCACCACAGGTTAGAAAATTTAACATTTCTTGTCTCCCATATGTTGCATAAGTGTCTCAATCTTTATCTTACCAGAAGATATTAGAAACACTGCTGGAACAAGTGCAGATGTTTTCTTTACCAGGTGCCAGATCAACCAGGCTGTGATGGATATGTGGGTCAGAGGGTCGCCAGCAGCAGCAGCCTGGTTGACCAGGCTAGCACCAGACGAGCCTAGCCCATGACCGGGCTCTGGGGGTAGATTTTCGGAACTAATCAAACGTCAAGGTATAGGTTTGAGTGACGCAGCATCTCTGAGTGTGACGCAACCACATTTCTGTGTGACGCAGCATCTGTGTGATGCAACCAGATCTCTGAGTGTGACGCAACCAGATCTCTGAGTGCGACGCAGCATCTCTAAGTGTGACGCAACCACATTTCTGTGTGACGCAGCATCTTTATGCAACCAGATCTGAGTGTGACGAGCATCTGATGTGAACAACATTGCTGAGTGTGATTGCACATCGAGTGTGACGCAACAACTCAGAGTGTGAGCAGATTATGTGACGCAACAGATTGAGTGCGACGCAGCAACTCTAAGTGTGACGCAACCACATTTCTGTGTGACGCAGCATCTGTGTGATGCAACCAGATCTCTGAGTGTGACGCAGCATCTGAGTGTAAAACGCAACACAGTTCTGATGTGTGATGCAGCATCTGAGTGTGACGCAACCAGATCTCTGAGTGTGACGCAGCATCTATGTGACGCAACCAGATCTCTGAGTGCGACGCAGCATCTCTGAGTGTGACGCAACCACATTTCTGTGTGACGCAGCATCTGTGTGATGCAACCAGATCTCTGAGTGTGACGCAGCATCTGAGTGTGACGCAACCACATTTCTGAGTGTGATGCAGCATCTGAGTGTGACGCAACCAGATCTCTGAGTGTGACGCAGCATCTATGTGACGCAACCAGATCTCTGAGTGCGACGCAGCATCTCTAAGTGTGACGCAACCACATTTCTGTGTGACGCAGCATCTGTGTGATGCAACCAGATCTCTGAGTGTGATGCAGCATCTGAGTGTGACGCAACCAGATCTCTGAGTGTGACGCAGCATCTATGTGACGCAACCAGATCTCTGAGTGTGACACAGCATCTCTGAGTGTGACGCAGCATCTCTGAGTGTAACGCAGCATCTCTGAGTGTGACGCAGCATCTCTGAGTGTAACGCAGCATCTCTGAGTGTGACGCAACCAGATCTCTGAGTGTAACGCAGCATCTGTGAGTGTGACGCAGCATCTGTGAGTGTGACGCAGCTATACAATTAGTCTTGTACAGGCTATTTTTCTCGATACAAGAATTACAAAAAACTAGCGACACAATCATAGGTCAAAGTTAAATTTTAATAGGCCAATTGTGTAAATATTAGCAAATTGAGCCTGGTCTCAGACCGGGCCGCGGGGGCGTTGACCCCCAAGTTCCGGGGGTCAACGCCCCCGTAGCCCGGTCTGTGACCAGGCCTCATGGTGGATCACAGCCTGATCAACCAGGCTGTTACTGGTAATGGAAGAGTAATTTCTTTTAAGAAAATGTTAAAACTAGCTAAGCAAAAAAGTCGAAGCACTGGGGGAATTGATTGATATTTCAGTAATTAATGTAATTTGTCCCGTAGCTAGGTTGGTATCGCACTCAACTCGTACATAGAGGTCCATGGTTCGATCCCCGGTACGGGTGTTAATTATCTGCTGTCATCACTCCTGCATTATAGTCCAAGGCAATATTAACATTCATGGGTAGACAACCTCAGTTTCTGACAACATATCCATCTTTTCAGAATACGTCACTGACAACACTGTTAAGATAAGATAAGATAAGATTTCGTTCGGATTTTTAACCCCGGAGGGTTAGCCACCCAGGATAACCCAAGAAAGTCAGTGCGTCATCGAGGACTGTCTAACTTATTTCCATTGGGGTTCTTAATCTTGTCCCCCAGGATGCGACCCACACCAGTCGACTAACACCCAGGTACCTATTTGCTGCTATGTGAACAGGACAACGGGTGTAAGGAAACGTGTTGAAATGTTTCCACCCGCCGGGAATCGAACCCGGGTCCTCCGTGTGTGAAACGGGAGCTTTAGCCACCAGGCCACCATACAGTAAATAACAGTCACAATACCATGACTGGAATGATACATGAATAACCTGCACATATGAGAGAGGAGCTTACGACAACATTTCGGTGTCGGACCGAAACGTCATCGTAAGCTCCTCTCTCCTATGTGCGGGTTATTTGTGTATTGAAATGAAGTGTTGACTCATCTGGCCTCACTACATAAAAATGATTAATTCTCATGACAGAATGATGGCAGTTGTGTCCCTCAGCAACATAATATAATTAGGTTCTTCAAATAATTTGTCTTTAACTGTTACTTTTAGTTATATAAATATATTTTGGGTAATATAACCCCATAACAGTATATTCACACTCTGTAAGGATGAATATATTTTATGATAAGTAATGTGTGTACTGTATATGCATTTTTTAGGCCTACCTCTGTTGCTGGAGTTTACCTGGAGAGAGTTCCAGGGGTCAACGCCCCCACGGCCCGGTCTGTGACCAGGCCTCCTGGTGGATTAAAGCCTGATCAACCAAGCTGTTACTGCTGGCTGCACGCAAACCAACGTACGAGCCACAGCCTGGCTGTTCAGGAACCGACTTTAGGTGCTTGTCCAGTGCCAGCTTGAAGACTGCCAGGGATCTATTGGTAATCCCCCTTATGTATGCTGGGAGGCAGTTGAACAGTCTTGGGCCCCTGACACTTATTGTATGGTCTCTTAACATGCTAGTGACACCCCTGCTTTTCATTGGGGGGATGTTGCATCGTCTGCCAAGTCTTTTGCTTTCGTTGTGAGTGATTTTCGTGTGCAGGTTCGGTACTAGTCCCTCTAGGATTTTCCAGATGTATATAATCATGTATCTCTCCCACCTTCATTCCAGGGAATACAGGTTTAGGAACCTCAAGTGCTCCCAGTAATTGAGGTGTTTTATCTCCGTTATGCGCGCCGTGAAGGTTCTCTGTACATTTTCTAGGTCGGCAATTTCACCTGCCTTGAAAGGTGCTGTTAGTGTGCAGCAATATTCCAGCCTAGATAGAACAAGTGACCTGAAGAGTGTCATCATGGGCTTGGCATCCCTAGTTTTGAAGGTTCTCATTATCCATCCAGTCATTTTTCTAGCAGATGCGATTGATACAATGTTATGGTCCTTGAAGGTGAGATCCTCCGACATGATCACTCCCAGGTCTTTGGCGTTGGTGTTTCGCTCTATTTTGTGGCCAGAATTTGTTTTGTACTCTGATGAAGATTTAATTTCCTCGTGTTTACCATATCTGAGTAATTGAAATTTCTCATCGTTGAACTTCATGTTGTTTTCTGCAGCCCACTGAAAGATTTGGTTGATGTCCGCCTGGAGCCTTGCAATGTCTGCAATGGAAGACACTGTCATGCAGATTCGGGTGTCATCTGCAAAGGAAGACACAGTGCTGTGGCTGACATCCTTGTCTATGTCAGATATGAGGATGAGAAACAAGATGGGAGTGAGTACTGTGCCTTGTGGAACAGAGCTTTTCACCGTAGCTGCCTCGGACTTTACTCTGTTGACGACTACTCTTTGTGTTCTGTTAGTGAGGAAATTATAGATCCATCTACCAACTTTTCCTGTTATTCCTTTAGCACGCATTTTGTGCGCTATTACGCCATGGTCACACTTGTCAAAGGCTTTTGCAAAGTCTGTATATATTACATCTGCATTCTTTTTGTCTTCTAGTGCATCTAGGATGTAAGGATGAATATATTTTATGATAAGTAATGTGTGTACTGTATATGCATTTTTTAGTCCTACCTCTGTTGCTCTGTTGATATTGAAAACATGTTATCAGACTATTTTTTTTAAAGTGAAAAATGGCTGTGATTCTCTTTACAGCAATTTTTACTTGACATCAGTAACCTGGAACCTAACCTGCTGTATAAGTGGGGCCCCTATACTAGCCTTTAACCTAATCTGCTGTATAAGTGGGGCCCTACAGTAGCCTGGAACCTAACCTGCTGTATAAGTGGGGCCCTAAAGTAGCCCAGAACCTAACCTGCTGTATAAGTGGGGCCCTACAGTAGCCCAGAACCTAACCTGGTGTATAAGTGGGGCCCTACAGTATTCAATACACTTGTAAGCCATTTTGATATTTTATATACACTTAGGATATTAAAATATTTTCAATAAAGGTTGTTTTTTATTTTAACTTGTTAGTAGTAAATATGTATATGAAATCATTTATAAAAATTTTGTTAAAAACATATAGAATATCTCAAAAAAAAGAGGCAAAGAAAGCAGAAATAAATTATAATAAAATTATAAATTCTCTGCTGTATGACTTTTGAGTTTAGTTTTTACTTTCATTATTATTTTTAACTCACGAAATCATAATAACACAACTGCAATCGAACCCCAGACTGGTTGGGGTTTGAATCCATGGCACGAGTCGTAAAACTCCATGCATCAATACATGGGTGAGAATACATGGTTTCAGTAAGGACATGCTTTGTATGGTTCTAACCCCACCTGTGGTATGGTTCGTTTGCAATCATGTCATTACGATTTCGTGAGTCATACTTGTATGGGCCAGTAGGCCTGCTCAGTGCTCCTCCATTGTTATGTTCAGTAGGTGAGGCTTCTTTAGTGGTTCTGATTGATGAGATTAAAACACAATGGTTCTTATAGAATTGCTTGATAAACTTGGGTATGCTTGAATTTTCCTGCAATTCTTGATTAGCATGATAGTTTTATCTTCATAAAAATTTTGGCTCTCAGTTCCGGTGTTATATATGCCCTTCCAAAATCTTCCACTCTTCCTTGATCATGTCACTGGCCTTTTCAGCAATCATAATAGTCGGGGCATTAGTATTACCATTGGTGACAAAAGGCATAATAGAGGCATCCACCACTCGGAATCCTTTCAGTCCCCGGACCCTGCCAAAAATAAGTGCAGAATTAATGTAGTTATTTTCTCGCTCATATTTTTAAGCCAATGCCTAGAGTTTTATAATACAAGAAATAGTTCACGATTCTGGCCCAGTAAAACTACAAATACATTATAAAGAAGTCTATTACTGCTGTACTTTGAAGACAGAGTCAGTCAAACAACTCAAACTGTCCTCTATTATCTTGACAGATCAATTTTTGTGAATAAGATTATACATAAATTTGTAATTTTTATTCTAATCTTGCTTAATCAGCTTACATTTAGTTAATATTATTATGTATTTCAACACAATGGTTCATCTCGCACTGAGTCAGATGACCAAAAAAAAAAAAAAACAAGTGAATGAGTATTATTGATCATTATACAATAAATAATTTTATGTTCTGGCTGAATTTTATTGATTACAACAATGAACTTGCTTGTTTTAAGCATTAATATAAGACTGCATACATGAAGAATAAAAAGCTAGGACTCACTAAAGGATAAAACATCAAGATGATAATGTTGAACTGGTGGAGTTCCACAGGGATCAGTGTTGGTACCAACATTGTTTTTAGTGTACAGTAGACCGTCGTTTAACACAGTAGTTACATTCCCTATTGAAATAAAAGGACCCCAATGGAAATAAGTCACTGACTTTTTTTTGGGTTATCCCAGGTTCTCTTCACATATGCTGCTATGTATAATAATCTATGTAACTGTATTTGTGTATACCTGAAGATTAGATTTTGCCACTGAAGTGGCTAGTTTATTGTGCACCCCATATCCATCCTGTGGACGGTAGCGCGAGAGCATATGGATACACAAAAGGCCTAGGAACTAGGCCCCAAAGGGTTAACAGGAATACATATGGATTTATATCTACATATCTATAGTTCACTTATCTGTTACAAGCAAATTTAGGAAATTTGCTTAGTATATCTGGTATCTTATTTTCATTAATAAGATATCTTGACATGTCACATAGGTTATTATACTGTCTATCTCTGTATTCCTTTTTTGTAGACCAACAGATCTTACAAAAATGAAAGTGAATATGTAACTGTACTAAATTGTCATGATATATTACTGCTTAAGACTACAAATACAACGTATTTTTTATCTTAAATTGTGGGTAATGGTGTTTGTGAATGACTGTGAAGAAAGTGCATATGCATGGTGTGGTCCTACTGGGCTGAAGTGGATGGTTGTCGGAAGAAGTGGATGGTAGAGGTTCTGGTACTAAAGTTGATGGTTGTATTGGAGTATGTAATGGATCTCTGGGCTCTTTTACCCTGCAGTACATTATACAGCTGACGGTAAAGCATCATCAACTGGTCCAGACCCTGTTTCAAAGTGTAGCCAAGTAAGTCGGTCAGTCAGCAAAATAAATCAGTCAGTCACGTCAGTAAGTCAAGTAAGTCAATCAAGTCAGTCAGTCAAGTAAGTCAGTCAGTCAAGTAAGTCAGTCAGTCAAGTAAGTCAGTTTGTCAAGTCAGTCAGTTGTTCATCACACAAACTCATATTCACCTCATTCTTTTTAATTGCACAAAGTGGCACTTCGTTACGGCCACAGGCTATCTCTTGTCTAATATCTCAATTTTCTTCATTAATTCTAAGACTTAAATGCTTTTACCTTTTCTTGCCACTTTCAGCAACACTTTTATGCCTACTGGGTGCCATGATTTCTTGGCCGATTTAAGATATGGCAATTAAAAGATCTAAACACAATCCACAAACAAAAATGAACACAGCTAGCTCTTAACAGAGGATTGTTCCACACGCATATGAACCAAAGACTGGAACAAGGGTGGTGGGAGTTAGTTTAATATGTTTATTATGCACCCCATACCCATCCTGTGGGTGATAGTCAAAAGATTACAGAGGTACATAATTGGTCCAGGGACTGGACTCCAAAGTTTTGATAGCTGAGCAAGTTACAGAGGTAATGAACTCACAATTTACAAAGGTAATGAACTCCAGGTAGGTCTGGTCACAATCATGACAAGTTACAAAGGTATTTACAGATTACATTATTATTATTATAATCATAGGGGAGCGCTAAACCCGTAGGATTATACAGCGCATGTGGGGGGGATAGAAGGTATTCAGGCTCAATTCAGGGAACCAGAGCACAAATCCAATTCCCTGATCAAGAGCCCCTCACCAGCATCAAGGAATTTACAGATTACAGAGGTACGTAATGGGAGTGGTGGAGGGTTGTGGAGGTGGCGGAGGTGGCGGGGGATGGCGGCAGGTTTCCCCATTGACTCAGTGGTCTAACCCATAGCCAGCAGAATGTATCCCATGGGCGACGTGCACTACAAATTTTTCCCCGCTCCCGCAAACTGAACCGTATTAAGTTAATTTTACAAAGTGTTATACAAAAATATGCCCAATTCTTCAATAGTGCTATAACCAAAACGTGCCAAACAAAACCATGTTAAACGATGGTCTACTGTATATTAGTGATCTGATAATAAAAATAACTCTTATGTATCTTTGCAGATGATGGGAAAATAATAAGAATACTCAATGAAGAAGAGAAAAAAAGGGTATAAGATCTGAAACTGGAGCTCTTGGCTCTAGTAGAGTACTTTTGGCTCTCATCTGAAGGACTCAGGTTTGATCATGGCACAAGTGGAGTACTTTTGGCTCTCATCTGAAGGACTCAGGTTTGATCATGGCACAAGTGGAGTACTTTTGGCTCTCATCTGAAGGACTCAGGTTTGATCATGGCACAAGTGGAGTACTTTTGGCTCTCATCTGAAGGACCCAAGTTAGATCATGGAACAGATGGAAATGTTGAGCATGTTTCTATACACCTGTTGCCCCTGTTCACCTAACACTCAGTAGGTACCTGAGTGTTAGCTATACATTGTGGGTCACATCCTGGGGACAAGGATCAAAGGACCCCAGTGCTATATATTGTTATACAGAAGTGAACTTACCTCAGTCTATGATCCACCACACCATAAGGATCGGAGGCTGGTGCCATCTTACAGCTGCCAGCAAGATGATAGAAGGTAGTGGACATGTGACGTACATAACAAACCCAGTAAGCATCAGAACCGAATACTGTATGAGCACACTGAGGAAGAGGCTGGAGAGAAAAGGGAAATGGTAAATACCATTGCTGAGGATTAGCAGTAACCCTGGTTACCAGATAATCTTCTATATGAGTTAATGTTCATTATACTGTAAATTTTTATATCAGAAAACTTATTCTCTCTAAATTTTAAAAAAGCATTGTGTAGAATTTGTTTAAATTTTTATGGATATTTCTATTTACCTTATCATAGAACTGGGCTCCATAACTGTTGACGAAGAGTGAGGTGTTGCCCAGTGCCAAAGTAAGCTTTATGCCTTCAAAAGAAGAATAAACTTTAGTGACATAGTTGTAAGAGTTATTATGTTTATTTAGGCACAGATACACATAAGTACAATTATCATACATAGTGTAAATTACCTAGGATAAAGCTTCCAGTCTCAAAAATGTCTGTTTACTAGAGCATCACAAGATATTGCCTGAAATGCTCTGCATAACTACAGACACTCTGTGTCCACATATAAATGTACTGTAGGATAGGTTAGGTAAGGTTTGTCAGGAAAGAGGACAAGTGTTTCCTGATGCAGGTCTTAGTTATGTGATGACCCACAGCTGGAGCTTTTGGTCATCTGACTGAGGCCTTCCACTGGCTTACCACTCCACCCCTTTAAAAATTAAGGTTACAATTATAATCATTTATGTATACATGTATTACTGTGTAGAACAACCACTGAAAAACCCCTTGCTCATAATATGCAGCTGCCTGTTCATCCATTATAGAAATTGTTCTAAAAAAAATTAAAAACACTGAACTGGTGGGGGGTCTGAACACCAACTGTTCCGTGGTTTGTTTACAATCATGTCATTATGATTTCCTGAGTCAGAAACTGTTGTAGTGTTATAAAAGCATTTGTCTCACCCTTGACAAGAGTTGTGACATCATCTGGATGTGACAGAAGTTGAGGATCAATGTTTGGTTGTTCATGTACGTCCGTAGACCTGAGGGTGATGGTTCCTCGACTCTTTGGTCGCACCAGGATGGGTCGGATTGTGAACCCTTCTCTTCCATATATCTCACTAAAGTACTCTTGAAACATCTGCAGAAAAAAGAAAATAATGTTTGTACTCAGGACATAATTAATGACCTGTGATATTTATGAAAACTTCATGTACATACATAATTAACCATATCAAAACTATGCTAAATCATCTAACCAGCTTGAAGCAACTCTCCCAAATATTTTATGATCTCTAATCTATTAAAATATTAATACATACCCTGCCTCGGTGGGAGACGGCCGACTTGTTGAAAAAAAAAAAAAAAAACTTACAATTGTATTGTTGTATCATTATAAATTACACTACTTGTAATACTGTTATTAGTTATGTATGGCCTGGTGGATAAAGCTCCCGCTTCACACACGGAGGGCCCGGGTTCGATTCCCGGCGGGTGGAAACATTTCGACACGTTTCCTTACACCTGTTGTCCTGTTCACCTAGCAGCAAATAGGTACCTGGGTGTTAGTCGACTAGTGTGGGTCACATCCTGGGGGACAAGATTAAGGACCCCAATGGAAATAAGTTAGACAGTCCTCGATGACGCACTGACTTTCTTGGGTTATCCTGGGTGGCTAACCCTCCGGGGTTAAAAATCCCGAACGAAATCTTATCTTATCTTATCTAACTATAAAACTTTTTTGGCTACCTCACAGTAGTAATAAGGTAAAATAATGAATGATTAAATTTTACCACTCTTAACCTGTCTAGAGTTAAGTGGTCTTTAAGTACAGGTACTTCTCACTTAACGACCTACCTGTTTAACAACTGCTCGGGCTTTCGACCAGCTCTTGACCAACACACTGTACGTACATTTTACATTTTTCTCCCACATGCAAGTTATTTATGTATCATTCTGTGAGTTGTTTACAATCGTGTTATTACAATGTTGCAGGTTAGAGCTACAACACTTGTGTGGTTTATAACATAGCAAGGCTGAAAATTCAGAACATTTGAAAGACTCAGAAGTTTCATTTTTCCACACTATTGATCATAAAAAAAAACTTTCCTTATGCTTAGAACAAGATACATATACAGTGGTACCCCAAGTTTCAGCCATAATTCGTTCCAGAAGACTGTTCGAGTGCTGTTACCGAACGAATTTGTTCCCATAAAGAATAATGTAAATTTCATTAGTCCATTTCAGACCCCAAAAAATACACTTACAAAAGCACTTACAATAATACACTTACAATAATACACTTACATAATTGTTCGAGTTGGTTGCTGCACAAAACTCAGGGTACCACTGTATGTATAAATTACAGTGTCACATTTATAAATCACAGAATGAGTGAGACTTGAATCCATGGCAGGTGATTTGTTTGCAGTTGATTTTGAGTTGCATTTAAATGTTTCTTAATAAGCATAAAACTGTACATGTATGGTATACAATACTGACAAGATGGAAATTAGACACATGTGCAACATCTGGGCATCTGCATTGTAGATGTTTTACCATCCAGTGGCTTTATTAATACAAATTTTTGTATATAGTAGAACTATATACAAAAGATGAGGTAATCAGTCCCTCATCCTTGGAGTTGGTGAAGAGCACCATAGTCTTGAAGATTCTTCAGAATCTTCAATCAGAATCTACAATAAAGATACCCAGATGTTGTACATTTGTCTAATTTTCAAGCATGAAATTATTTATTCATTTGGTATTTCTTTCTTCTTTCAACAAACTGGCCATATCCCACCAAGGCAGGGTGACCCAAAAGAAAAACAAAAGTTCGTCTTTTTAATTTTAGTAATGTATACAGGAGAAGGGGTTACTAGCCACTTGCTCCCGGCATTTTAGTAGCCTCTTATGACATGCATGGTCATTTGGCATTTATGTATTTAAATAAAGGACAATAATATACCAGGATTCAAAGTAAGTAGTAACGTAGTACACTGAGAACTAGAAGTGTACTAACCGGTTTTTCCAAACCATACAAGGCAGGATTCACAGCACCCAAGTCACGTGCTATAGTTATACTGTTAAAAAACAACTGTATGTCTGGCCATAATGGATCACCTCCCTCTGACACCGTGATCCAAGCATTCCCGAAATTCAGAGGTACTGTGCCAATAGGGCCTGTAATGGGAAGAGTTAAAATTACAACAGACAAAATGTTAGCATTCCTCAATGCTTCAGGTGAAGTTATTTTATTCTACAGTAATGAAGTTTTCACAATTTCATGGTTTTTAAATGCTAATGTATAGTGAATGGAATGAATGGGCATATTGCACTTAGTACTCAAAATTAATAAAAAACGGCTTTCATGTGATCTGGAAACTACAAATATAAGAGCAAAGAGCAAGTTATAAAAAGAAAATGCACCAGTATCAGTCAAAAATATTCGTAGACAGATGCAAAAAGAGAGCAAATGAGAGAGTGGGTGAGACATTATCAACAAATTTTGTTAAAAATAAGAAAAAGTTTTGGAGTGAGATTAATAAGTTCAGAAAGCCTAGGGAAAGAATGGATTTGTTAGCTAAACATATGAGAGGAGAGTTAGTAAATGGAGAGTTAGAGGTATTGGGAAGATGGAGGGAATATTTTGAGAAATTGTTAAATGTTCATGAAGATAGGGAAGTTGTGATTTCGTGTATAGAGCAAGGAGGAATAACATATTATAGGAGTGAGGAAGAACCAGTTGTGAGTGTGGGGGAAGTGTGTGGGGCAGTGAGTAGAATGAAAGGAGATAAAGCAGCTGGGATTGATGGGATAAAGATAGAAATGATAAAAGCAGGTGGGGATATAGTTTTGGAGAGGTTAGTATTTTTATTTAATAAATGTATGGAAGAGGGTAAGGTACCTAGGGATTGGCAGAGAGCATGCATAGTTCCTTTGTATAAAGGCAAAGGGGACAAAAGAGAGTGTAAAAATTATAGGGGAATAAGTCTGTTGAGTATACCTGGTAAAGTGTATGGTAGAGTTATTATTGGTAGAGTTATGAGTAAGACAGAGAGCAGGATAGCAGATGAACAAGGAGGCTTTAGGAAAGGTAGGGGGTGTGTAGACCAAGTGTTTGCAGTGAAACACATAGTTGAACAGTATTTGGATAAGGTAAAGAGGTTTTTGTGGAATTTATGGATTTGGAAAAGGCATATGATAGGGTGGATAGGGAGGTAATGTGGCAGATGTTGCAAATGTATAGAATAGGGGGTAGGTTATTGAAGGTAGTGACAAGTTTTTATGAGGATAGTGAGGCTCAGGGTAGAGTATGTAAGTGAGAGGGGGATTATTTCCCAGTAAAAGTAGGCCTTATACAGGGATGTGTGATGTCACCATGGTTGTTCAATATATTTATAGATGGAGTAGTAAGGAAAGTGAATGCTCGGGTTTTGGCAAGAGGAGTGGGGTTAGAAGATAAAGAATCTAACACAAAGTGGGAGCTGTCACAGTTGCTCTTTTGCTGATGACACTGTGCTTTTGGGAGATTCTGAAGAGAAGTTGCAGAAGTTGGTTGATGAGTTTGGTAGGGTATGTAAAAGAAGGAAGTTAAAAGTGAATATAGGAAAGAGTAAGGTGATGAGGATAAAAAAATTAGGTAACGGAATATTGGATATCAGATTGGAGGGAGAGAGTATGGAGGAGGTGAATGTGTTCAGATATCTGGGAGTGGATGTGTCAGCAGATGGGGTTATGAAGGATGAGGTGAATCATAGAATTGACGAGGGGAAAAAGGCGAGTGGTGCACTGAGGAGTCTGTGGAGACAAAGAACTTTATCCATTAAAGCAGAGGGGAATGCATGAGAGTATAGTTATATCAACACTCTTGTATGGGTGGGAGGCATGGGTTGTGAATGTTGCAACAAAGAGAAGGCTGGAGGCAGTGGAGATGTCATGTCTGAGGGCAATGTGTGGTGTGAATATAATGCAGAGAATCCATAGTTTGGAGATTAGGAGGAGGTGTGGGATTACCAAAACTATTATCCAGAGGGCTGAGGAGCGGTTATTGAGATGGTTTGGACATGTAGAAAGGATGGAACAAAATAGAATGACTTCCAGAGTATACAAATCTGTAGTGGAGGGAAGGTGGGGTAGGGATCAGCCTAGGAGAGGTTGGAGGGAGGGGGGTAAAGGAGGTTTTGTGTGCGAGGAGCTTGGACTTCCAGCAAGTGTGCGTGAGCATATTAGACAGGAGTGAATGGAGAGAAATGGATTTTAGGACTTGATGTGCTGTTGGAGTGTAACCAAGGTAACATTTATGAAGGGGTTCAGGGAAACTGTCAGGCCGGACTTGAGTCCTGGAGATGGGAAGTACAGTGTCTACACTCTGAAGGAGGGGTGTTAATGTTGCAGTTTTATAACTGTAGTGTAAAGCACCCTTCTGGCAAGAGGGATGGTGGGAAATGGCCTGATTATATATGTTAACTGTTCCAGGAATGGCAAGTTCTTGGGTATTTGTTCATTCTCAGTTACTGACTATTTACTGAGGCTTTTTATTTAAATACTCTCAATCTCCTAAAATGAAATTAATACCAAAGTGTCATGTTATTGGACATAGCTTCTAAAGCTATTTAGATATGTTTGTATGATGTAATCAAAAGACTAATAAAATGTGAATACTTCTTAAGGAATTACAAGTTTTCCAGGACTCTATTGCTTGTAAGCACAATCCAGCCTTAAGTAATAATTGACTGCTTGTGTGTTCTTCTTTTTTTATCAACACATTGGCCATTTCCCACCAAGGCAGGTGACCCAAAAAAAGAAGAAACACCTTCATCATCATTCACTCCGTCTCTGTCTTGCTAGAGGTGTAAGTAAGTAAGTTTATTCAGGTAAACACAAATACAGTTACATAGATTATCATACATAGCAGCATATGTGTAGAGAACCTGGGATAACCCAAAAAACTGTAGTGTGCCTACACTACAGTTAAAAAAAAACTGTAATTTGTAATTTTCCTGTGTATGAGCTCTTAATGTCCTTGTATATAAGGAACTAATTCGATACTGACATCGAAATCTTCAGTTAGACTAAGTTTGCCCAAAATGTTCCACACAACTATGGACCTTCTGCATGTATTACTAAATATCACACATCTCTACAGACATTGTATCATGGATTAATTTGATTTCCATTATTTCTTATGGGGAAAATTAACTCGACTAACGATAATTTCGATTAACGATGAGCTCTCAGGAATGGATTAATATCGTTGGTCGAGGGTCCACTGTAATAATAATAATAATAATAATATCTAGGCCAGACCTAAATTGGATAGGAAATATTAGTGGACTCAGAAATACAGGAGAGTAAAGATAAGTGCACTCTGAATGTGATTAAGAGATTTTTTAAGAATTTTTTTAAGAGTTACCTGCCATCTTATTCAACAGTGAAACAGGAAAAAAAAACAGCAATCCTGCTAAAGTGAAAATCAGTTACCAGCCACACAGTTACATAAATGCAGGAGATTGAGAGATATGAAATACAGCCTTTCCTCACTTAGCAATGTACTCGTTTACTGACAACTCGTACTTATGACGGGCTCTCTGAGCAGCATGCATACCTAAATAATGTATAATAGAGCTGATTTTTCTCCATTCTGTTTATTACAATATACAGTACATCACTGTATAAACATTTAAAAATATACCAGAAATATTATAAATGGTGCAAAGGTGACATTACAACAATATCAAAGATGGCGACACAAACCCACTACCATTATAGTATGCTCCTCACTTAGCGACAAATTCATTTACCAACGTGGTCTTAGGTATACAGTGGACCCCCGGTTAACGATATTTTTTCACTCCATGAGTATGTTCAGGTGCCAGTACTGACTGAATTTGTTCCCATAAGAAATATTGTGAAGTAGATTAGTCCATTTCAGACCCCCAAACATACACGTACAAACGCACTTACATAAATACACTTACATAATTGGTCACATTCGGAGGTAATCGTTATGCGGGGGTCCACTGTACTATCAAAGATAAGGTACTACATTCCACAATCAGCTCTCCTGGCACTGTACCATTCACTCATATAACCTTACCTCACCTATGGAATTTGTGCATAGGGATCAACAACATTCAATCACCTAAGACCTCTAATAACCCAGCAAAAGGCAGCAGTCAGAATGATAACAAATTCCCACTCTCACCAGCATACTCCACCAATTTTCAAAAGTCTGAATCTGCTCACCATTAAGAACATCCATACTTATTCATGTGCCTACTACATACACAGAACAATACACACAAATATAAACCCTCCACTCAAACTTCTCCTCACCAACCTAAACAGGACACATGACCACAACACAAGACAAGATCTCTTTTTGATATACCTCGGTCCATATCACACTGTGTAAAAACTCTATGCACATAAAGGGCCCCAAAATATGGAATTCATTACCAGAAGATACTAAAGTCTGAAAATCAATTTAAGACTCTTCTCAAAAGCCACTTAATCACCTTAGACTAAACGCTAAATACTCAGTACACACATACTCACTTATGTACTCCCACATCATAATTTTTACAACCACTTTGAACCTTTATCCACTGTTGACAGGAATATAACTGAATCATTGTTTTCACAAAAACATTTTTTGAATACGTATATGAATATATCTTGTGTCTTATATAAATTAGATTCACTTATAATTAATAATCTACTGTACAACTATGATATAATTAATACGTATTCTGCTGTACAGTATGACATAATTCTTAGTGTTAAGTAGACTGTAAGCCAATAATGTTAAGTCGGCCCATAATACCTAGGCATAATAGAGGCTCTCTTTGCATTGCAACCCACTATTGTAAATACAAAATCTCAATGTACTATTTGCGAAGACGTAAATAAATAAATAAATAAATAGAGGCTGTGATATAAATACTAAATATACAAGATAACAGGTACATCTTGCTACCTCTACTTACACTTAGTTCACATTACACATGCATGTATATGTAGCATCAATTAATAAAATGTAAATACTAGCCTTGTCTGGTTAACCTGAACAGATGGATAGAGCTGGGGCTGAATGTTTCTATTAAACTTGGGAAAGATGTGCCTCTAACACCCAACCAGCTGAGACCTAAAATTTCAACATGATCGTGCACATTCTGTCCGACTCCTGGTATGTCTGCCACCACCTTCAGCTGTAAAAAATAATAAACTTCAGTTGGTGTGTTGAGGAGAACTTTGGTATTATACTAAATAAGACTGAATTCAGAAGTGGTAGAAGAAAAATTAACCTCATCTCTTTGAGATATACTGCAGTAAAATATGCTGCATTAACTTGATATAATGTACACAGTAGCAAAGGAATCCAGACTATAATCTACTTTGAAAAAGGTAATGCTGCCTGTAAGTTTCTCACACATACAGTAAACCCTTAATTTAAAGAACCTCAGAAATATGGGATAAAATCTGCTAGGTCAGCTTATTCAGAAAGAACGGAGAGGTCTGTTGGCTTCTCACTTGTCTATTATGATTGGAGTAAAACAGTGTCATCTGTGTCCGCCACAACTGTCATTACCGGCCACCGTCCCCCCTTCATGAGCCTGTTAAATTAAGGTTATATTTCGTTTTTTTTCAACAAACTGGCTGTTTCCCACTGAGGTAGGGCAACCCAGAAAGAAGAAACACTTTCACCATCACTCACTCCATCACTGTCTTACCAGAGGGGTGCCAATACTACAGTTCAAAACTGCAAATATCACCACCCCTCCTTCAGAGTGTAAGTACTGTACTTCCCACCTCCAGGACTCAAGTCCAGCTAACTGGTTTAAGGTTAAACTTCCTGAATATATTAGAAAAAAATGGATGCACCACAGTGTGTGTCTACAGGAAAAGTGGATGCACCACAGTGTGTGTCTACAGGAAAAGTGGATGCACCACAGTGTGTGTCTACAGGAAAAGTGGATGCACCACAGTGTCTACAGGAAAAGTGGATACACCACAGTGTGTGTCTACAGGAAAAGTGGATGCACCACAGTGTCTACAGAAAAGTGGATACCCACAGTGTGTGTCTACAGGAAAAGTGGATGCACTACAGTGTGTGTCTACAGGAAAAGTGGATGCACCACAGTGTGTGTCTACAGGAAAAGTGGATGCACCACAGTGTGTGTCTACAGGAAAAGTGGATGCACTACAGTGTGTGTCTACAGGAAAAGTGGATGCACCACAGTGTGTGTCTACAGGAAAAGTAGATGCACCACAGTGTGTGTCTACAGGAAAAGTGGATGCACCACAGTGTGTGTCTACAGGAAAAGTGGATGCACCACAGTGTATGTCTACAGGAAAAGTGGATGCACCACAGTGTCTACAGGAAAAGTGGATACACCACAGTGTGTGTCTACAGGAAAAGTGGATGCACTACAGTGTGTGTCTACAGGAAAAGTGGATGCACTACAGTGTGTGTCTACAGGAAAAGTGGATGCACTACAGTGTGTGTCTACAGGAAAAGTGGATGCACCACAGTGTGTGTCTACAGGAAAATGGATGCACTACAGTGTGTGTCTACAGGAAAAGTGATGCACCACAGTGTGTGTCTACAGGAAAAGTGGATGCACTACAGTGTGTGTCTACAGGAAAAGTGGATGCACCACAGTGTGTGTCTACAGGAAAAGTGGATGCACTACAGTGTGTGTCTACAGGAAAAGTGGATGCACCACAGTGTGTGTCTACAGGAAAAGTAGATGCACCACAGTGTGTGTCTACAGGAAAAGTGGATGCACCACAGTGTGTGTCTACAGGAAAAGTAGATGCACCACAGTGTGTGTCTACAGGAAAAGTGGATTAAGTAAGTAAGTAAGTTTATTCAGGTATACACAAATACAGTTATATAGAATTATCATACATAGCAGCATATGTGTAGAGAACCTGGGATAACACAAAAAAGTGTGTGTCTACAAGAAAAGTGGATGCACCACAGTGTATGTCTACCCTAATTTACATGACATTTTACGAGGTTAAAGCAGAGCCAAGTGTTGACGTACTTATTTACACTCGGCAAAAAAATAAATGCATCATATACTAATTACATAACTTACAAAATATTCAATTATTTGCATAAATTACAAGTTGGGTTTTGTTAATTCCCGCTGTCTCAATATATTAAATCTTATTAGCAATGCAAGTGTGGGATTTTGAGTTTTGTATAATATTATTACCAAATACTGATGGAGGGGAGAGCTAAACCCACATGGGTATACAACACCTGGGAAAACAGATTTGATGCAGGGAAGGGTAGGTTAGGTCCAATTCCTTGGATCAAGATCCCCTCACTGGCATCAAGACACCTCCTTTGAGGGGTATGGTTCAGTAGATATATAAATAAAATGACAAATACAATTGACTGAAAATAAAGATTTATTTATTAACTTTTAAAAAGCTTTTTATATTCTATATTGTAACAGTTTTCTTCTTAAACCAGAGTACATATTGTTGTAACAGCTTTCTTCTTAAACCAGAGTACATATTGTTGTAACAGCTTTCTTCTTAAACCAGAGTACATATTGTTGTAACAGCTTTCTTAAACCAGAGTACATATTGTTGTAACAGCTTTCTTCTTAAACCAGAGTACATATTGTTGTAACAGCTTTCTTCTTAAACCAGAGTACATATTGTTGTAACAGCTTTCTTCTTAAACCAGAGTACATATTGTTGTAACAGCTTTCTTCTTAAACCAGAGTACATATTCTTGTAACAGCTTTCTTCTTAAACCAGAGTACATATTGTTGTAACAGCTTTCTTCTTAAACCAGAGTACATATTGTTGTAACAGCTTTCTTCTTAAACCAGAGTACATATTGTTGTAACAGCTTTCTTCTTAAACCAGAGTACATATTGTTGTAACAGCTTTCTTCTTAAACCAGAGTACATATTCTTGTAACAGCTTTCTTCTTAAACCAGAGTACATATTCTTGTAACAGCTTTCTTAAACCAGAGTACATATTGTTGTAACAGCTTTCTTCTTAAACCAGAATACATATTGTTGTAACAGTTTTCTTCTTAAACCAGAGTACATATTGTTGTAACAAGCTGGCACTGGACAAGCACCTAAAGTCAGTTCCTGATCAGCCGGGCTGTGGCTCGTACGTTGGTTTGCGTGCAGCCAGCAGTAACAGCCTGGTTGATCAGGCTCTGATCCACCAGGAGGCCTGGTCACAGACCGGGCCACGGGGGCGTTGACCCCCAGAACTCTCTCCAGGTAAACTCCAGCTAACAGCTTTCTTCTTAAACCAGAGTACATATTGTTGTAACAGCTTTCTTCTTAAACCAGAGTACATATTCTTGTAACAGCTTTCTTAAACCAGAGTACATATTCTTGTAACAGCTTTCTTCTTAAACCAGAGTACTCTCAGTACATGCATTTGATTCATAAAATAATATAACTTATAAATTATTAGCAAAAACCATCTGACTCATTACCAGCCATAACAAACCTATTCTTCTGTAGCTCTATTCTAGATTTATAAATATTTCTAGCTATTGTGTCAATCCTGAGTTCTAACTTAACCCTTAAACGGTCCAAACATATATATACGTCCACGCGCATAGCGCCCCAAACGTATATATACGTTTTCTTTGTCATTCATTCAACATTGCCACATTAAGCCTGAGTCACCTAGACATAAGAGAATGGGTGTGTGCACTCACTGTGTTCCATATTAAAATAATTGGGGATGCCTGGGTACCATATGCTCTTTTTTCCTTTTAAAAGAAAAGATTGTTTTTTTCCTCAAAAAAGTTGGGGCACTACGCGAGTGAACGTATATATACGTTTGGACCGTTTAAGGGTTAAAATGAAAGTTGGTACTCACATTATGCTGGTGGAGATGTTCCTTGGGTCCAACTCCTGACAACATGAGTAGTTTGGGGGATGCTACTGACCCAGCAGACATAATGACCTCGCGACGCGCCCTCACCGTCAACAACTGTAGAATTTAATACATGTATAAGATTAGTTTGTTTGGATTTTAAACCCCAATGGGTTAGCCAGCCAGGATAACCTAGAGTAGGGAGGGTTACTCACCCAGGATAACTTAAAGTTAGTGTATCATCAAGGACTGTCTGTCTTCCATTGAGGTCCTTTAGCCTTGTCCTTCAGGATGCACACTTCTGAGTGAGTTGTTTCTAAATTCATTAATTTTATCACACTCCAGTACATAATGACGCAAGGTGTGACAATAATCCATCTGGCAAAGTTTACATTTCGTTTGGTCTACATCTGGTGGTGGTGATTTAACCTGCCAAAGATACTTGTAACCCAGCCGGAGCCGGGCGGTAGTGACATCCAAGAGTCTGCTTATTTTGTTGGATGCACCATAGACATGTGGCTCCTCCTGCATAAATAGAATGATGATAGATGGACTCACTGGTGTCAATCTCCCTGAGCCTTAAGTCCATAAAATTCAGCTGAAGTTCTTTTCGTATATTGTTCTCAAACTACACCTGACAAGCCAAGATTGTAATCTACTCCCTCTTTGAAAGCATACAGCTTAGCCAATTTATCAGTTCTATCATGCATCTGAAGACCAATGTGAGATGGAATCCACAGCATGTGCACTCTGACTCCACTGTCCACAATCCTACCATACCTATGTCTGCTTCTGACACAAGCATGCCACAATTTATGCTTAATGAGTTGAGAGCATTTATGGATGACAGAGAATCAGTTACAATTAAACTGTCAATCTTTGATACATAGATGCATTTCAGTGCAAGGAGTATGGCAAAAATGGGTATGGGGTGCATAATAAACATATTAAACTAACTAACTTCAGGATGCCACCCACACCAGTCCACTAACACCGAGGTACCTACTTACTGCTAGGTGAACAGAGACAGCAGGTGTAAGGTGACTAACACCCAGATGCCTACTTTTTGCTAGGTGAATGGGGACAGTAGGTGTAAGGTGACTCACACCAAGGTACCTACTTACTGCCAGGTGAACAGAGACAGCAGGTGTAAGGTGACTAACACCAAGGTATCTACTTATTGCTAGGTGAACAGAGACAGCAGGTGAAAGGAAGCACGCCCAATGTTTCCAACCGGATGGGTATCACACCACGGACACCCAGTATGTGAGGCGAGAGCTGGAGACTTCAACATCAACCTTGGCTTACTAGATGATCAGACTGTAACTGATTTCATCAACAATATGAACAACACACTTCTCATACCAACAATAACTAAACCAACCAGGCTCACTGAGACAAGTGCAACCATAATAGACCACATATGGACCAATATACTAGCCCCCCTTAAATCAGGGATAATCACAGATAGCACTACAGACCACTACCCTACCTTCCTCCTGACAAACATTAGTAAACCACCACTTGAATACAACAAAGTCTCATTTAGACTCCATGACGAGGCTCAATAAGGAAGTTCACAGCTGACCTAGAGACTGTTGACTGGCCTACAGAATTCTCCAAGGCCAATGGTATTGATGACTGGACAGACATTTTTCTTAACAAATTACTTAGACTATACAACAAACATTGTCCTATAAAAACGAAACAGATCACAAACAAACGGCTTGGTTGCCCATGGCTAACCAGCACCATTCTGAAATCCATTGACAAGAAACACCAATATGAAAAGCAATATAGACAGGGCTTAATACACAAAGATATTCTTAAACACTATTCATCAGTTCTCACCAAAGTAATAAAGAAAGCCAAACAACTATACTACAGTAGATTCACAGACACTAGAGATATAAAAAAGACCTGGAAAACCCTCTCTCAGATTCTAGGGACCCACAAACTGAAAAAACCAAGAATATTGTCCTAACTAAACCTAATGAAACACCACTACATCCCACTGACACAGTTAACAAGATAAACGACTTCTTCTCAACCATAGGATCTAATCTCGCCAATAAAATCCCACATACCAATGCCCATGCCGGGGACTACCTAGATGGGAATTTCCCAAATTCCTTCTATCTTGCACCAACTGAGCCCTCGGAAGTCACCGAGATTATAAAGTCACTTAAAAATAACTCAGGGAATCTGTCTCATGTCCCACCATTACTGTACAAGCGAGTGGCCCATGTCCTTTCGCACGCTATTTTATTACTTTTTAACAAGTCACTAGAAACTAGCACCTTCCCGAAACTACTCAAGATGGCAAGGGTTACACCAATACATAAAGGTGGTGACCCTACAGACTTAAACAACTATAAGCCAATATCAAACTTACCATTGCTATCCAAAATCTCTGAGAAACTCGTGCACAGGAGACTATATTCATTTATAACAGCACAAAACATACTCAACCCCTGCCAATTTGGATTCAGGAAAAATAAAAGCACTAATGATGCAATCATAAAAATGCTAGATCTGCTTTACACAGCATTGGAAAATAAGGAATATCCACTAGGAATTTTTATTGACCCAAGAAAAGCTTTTGACACAGTAAACCACGACATCCTACTCCACAAACTTGACCATTACGGTATAAGAGGCCATGTGCTTGCTTATTTCAAATCTTACCTTACTAATAGGTATCAGTACGTCACCATTAAAGACACAGCATCAACAACACGGCCACTTGATACTGGAGTTCCGCAGGGAAGTGTCCTTGGTCCCCTGCTCTTCCTCATGTACATCAATGATCTTCCATACGTATCCCAACACCTGAAACCCATTCTCTCTGCTGACGACACGACTTATGTCATCTCTCACCCTAATCTTGCCACCCTCAACACCATTGTTAACGAGGAGCTGATCAAAATATCGACTTGGATGACAGCCAATAAACTTACGCTTAACACTGACAAAACCCACTATATTATGTTTGGTAGCAGAGCAGGAGATGCACAAATTAACATTAAGATCGACAACACTCTAATTACCAGACATAATGAGGGCAAATTCCTAGGCCTATACCTTGACAACAACCTGAATTTCAGCACCCATATCCAACACATAACCAAAAAAGTATCCAAAACGGTTGGGATCCTCTCCAAGATACGATACTACATGCCGCAAAATGCCTTCTCACACTATACACTCACTTATTTATCCATACCTCACCTATGCTATTTGTGCTTGGGGATCAACTGCAGCAACACACCTAAAGCCAATAATAACCCAACAAAAAGCTGCAGTAAAAATAATCCTAAATCCATCCCTGGCAACACACCCCCCCACCTTCATAGATCTAAACTTACTCCCTGTTCAGTACATCCACACTTTATACTGTGCAATCTACATCTACAGGACCTTAAACTCCAATATCAACCTTGACCTAAAATGCTTTCTTGATAGTTGTGACAGAACCCACAGGCATAACACCAGACACAAACATCTCTACGACATTCCCCGTGTCCAACTAAACCTTTATAAAAATTCAATGTATGTCAAAGGCCCTAAAATCTGGAACACCCTACCTGAGAACTCTAGAACTGCAGACACATTCATCACCTTCAAAACTACCATTAGAAAACATCTTATCTCCCTGATACACCCCATCAACTAACTACACGAATACTACCTGGTGGTTCATACTTACACCCACTCACCCATTTGACCATAAACAGAAATATTAATCTCAATCTTAAAATAATGAATCCTATGATACTCCAATACTGAAACTATGTACTGTGCCAAAACAAAAGCATTCACATTGCTAAACTCACAAACTAGTATTTAGTCACTTAGCCATAATACCAACTTACCTCATAATTTGTAATATTTTAAAATAAAGAATTAAACTAAGTCTGCCCGAAATGCCTAACCATGCTAGGCGTTCTAGTGGTACACTCTGTAATCATTATTTAACTACATGTAAACCACACAATAACCAAATTCTGTAAATTCAACATTGTAATCCTTATAGAGAAATAAACTTTGAATTGAATTGAATTGAATTGAGTTGCCTACCAGGCCACGGGATACCTCATTAACTCTGGATAATACTGCTTATCAGAAAATCGCTGAAATTAGTATTTAATAAATTACCCACGTGGTGATTTTGGAAAATTAAATGATGGCTTGACCTATCCCCAGAAGTCTTAGGATTTTTTGAAAATTAATGAGACAGGAATCAGCATTTTTTCTGTCAGTCTTATGATTTTTGAAAATCAAAGACAGGAATCAATGTTTTTTCTGTCTCATCCCTTCACCACTTGATGCTAGTGAAGGTTTTATGATTCAATGCATTAAGAGTTATCCTTGCCTTGAGTCAAGCCACATTACTTCCCACTCCCTAAGCATTATTAAACCTCTGTGCACTACATGCTAGTAGCTTTTGTGTTTAACGATGGGTTTAGTGATTGGTTTTGATTATAATAATAATAATAATGGCCCATGGCCTTGGTTCATAAAGCTCTCACTTCACACACTGAGGTTTAATTCCTGGCAAGGGTGGAAACAATGGGCATGTTTTCTTACACCTGTTGTCCCTGTTCACCCATCGGTAAAATAGGTACCTGGGTGTTAGTGGACTGGTGTGGGTCACATCCTGGGACAAAATTTACCTAATTTGCAGGAAATGCTTTGTATAACAAGCGGCTTTCTATATAGTAGTATGTCACTGATGTCAGCTATGGTCTGTATACCTTGTACATGTACTGGTAGAAATAAAGATATTGATATTATTATTATTAATGTGCCTGACTATATTTTATTACATGCAAACTACATTACATGGTTATAATATGAAGAATAAAAATATACACAGAAGACAGTGGAAGATGAGTTAGTCAGTCCCTCAGCCTAGTACTAGGCCTACTGGCCCATACAAGGCAGGTCCTTCTCAAAACCAATCTTCTCTTTTTATGCTTTATAGTAACATTACTGATATATAGTATCAAACAGTGAAAAATTAATGATGCATAATAAGTAATAACATAGTTTACCATTTAAGTTTACAGAAGACAACAAAGTTACTCACTCTTCCTTTGTGTTCAAACTTGACACCAACAGCTCTCTTGTTTTCGAAGAGAACCTGAAGAAAATAAGATATGGTAAAAGTAATGTACGTATACTTAGTTTTGATTATAATAATAATACTGAAGTGAGTTATGAGGTGACTAAAGTGTAAGTTTGATGCAGTGGTAGTTGTTATAGTGCCTGCACTCTGAAGGACAGGTGGAGATATGTAGTGGATTTTGAACTGTAGTATTGGCACACCTCTGGCAAGAGTGATGGCATGAGTGATGATGACAGTGTTTCTTCTGTTTTAGGTCACCCTGCCTCAGTGGGTAATGGTTGACATGTTAAAAGAAAAAATAAATATTTTTGTATGTTCATGTATCATACACGAATGTGATTAGTACCTGTTTATGATTACACATTAATTGTATTGCAGGAGCAGAATTATGGTGATGTTACCTTGAAGTGGGGTTGTGCCTTGATGCTGGTGAAGGGCTCTTGATCCAAGGAGCTGAAGTTACCCTTCCTTTCCTCAGATCAAACCTGATTGTCTCCCATTGCCTAGGTACGATACTATATGACAGGTGCAGGACAGTAACACTACATACTTGACCAAGACAGTAACACTACATACTTGACCAGGACAGTAACACTACATACTTGACCAAGACAGTAACACTACATACTTGACCAGGACAGTAACACTACATACTTGACCAAGACAGTAACACTACATACTTGACCAGGACAGTAACACTACATACTTGACCAGGACAGTAACACTACATACTTGACCAGGACAGTAACACTACATACTTGACCAGGACAGTAACACTACATACTTGACCAAGACAGCAACACTACATACTTGACCAGGACAGTAACACTACATACTTGACCAAGACAGTAACACTACATACTTGACCAGGACAGTAACACTACATACTTGACCAAGACAGTAACACTACATACTTGACCAGGACAGTAACACTACATACTTGACCATGACAGTAACACTACATACTTGACCAGGACAGTAACACTACATACTTGACCAGGACAGTAACACTACATACTTGACCAGGACAGTAACACTATATACCTGACCAGGACAGTAACACTACATACTTGACCAGGACAGTAACACTACATACTTGACCAAGACAGCAACACTACATTCTTGACCAGGACAGTAACATTACATACTTGACCAGGACAGTAACAGTACATACTTGACCAGGACAGTAACACTACATACTTGACCAGGACAGTAACACTATATACTTGACCAGGACAGTAACACTACATACTTGACCAGGACAGTAACACTATATACTTGACCAGGACAGTAACACTACATACTTGACCAGGACAGTAACACTATATACTTGACCAGGACAGTAACACTACATACTTGACCAAGACAGTAACACTACATACTTGACCAGGACAGTAACACTACATACTTGACCAGGACAATAACACTACATACTTGACCAGGACAGTAACACTACATACTTGACCAGGACAGTAACACTACATACTTGACCAGGACAGTAACACTACATACTTGACCAGGACAGTAACACTACATACTTGACCAGGACAGTAACACTACATACTTGACCAGGACAGTAACACTATGGACTGACCTTGTGAACAGTAGCACTGTGCAGAACATGAAGGTTTGGTCTGATGTTTGCTGGTCTTAGATATTCCATGGCTGTCGAAGATCTAAGCCCGTCTTTAATTGAAAAAGTTGAAATGGGAAATCCTGGGGAGTGAAACCGTGTTTTATTAAAAAATGAATTCATTTTAAAAAGTGATTTAAGCAAACTCACACACAGAAATTAAAATAGAAGGTAAGTGAAGTGTTTTATGTTTTATCTTACAAATGATACTCTAGTAGACTAAGAAGTGTTTATTTGTTAGGGAAATTTTGTCATAATATCAGCCATTCAGTGGTTCTGGGTGGGAAGTGTGACTAGATGGTGTGTCTAAGGCAGGAGTCCCCAACCTATGGCCCACTGGCCACATGTGGCCCTTCTAGGAAGTAGATGTGGCCCTTACATGAAATTACAAATTCATATTTAATGTAGGTTCTACACTGTAGTGCTAACAAAATTATGTGACCCTCATCACACATTTGACCATCAAATGTGACCCACTTGTGTAGAAAGGTTGAGGACCACTGGTCTAAGATATAGTGTAAGGTGGGTAGCAGTGACCTAATATTAATATGTATTTGTGTGTATCTGTACCTAAATAAATTTATTAACTGCTGTCTTAGTGGTGTTGGACTTGGTGTACAAGTGATGCTTAATATGTATAAGGACTGTGTGATGTAAGTCAGGTCCAAGAGCTGTCAGGTGGAGGAATCAAGTTAGGTGTAGAAGAAGGGACTTAAAGACAAGGTTAGTCATGTCTTTTGCATTTAGGCTGGTTCATGTACCTGACCAGGTTTCCACACTGGATCTAGTTTATGGGTATGACTTTAATCAAGTGACTTAGGTCTGGAGGATTTTCCATATACATGTACCCTGTTTTTTCTGTCATTCTCCTGAAGAGACCTTCACTTGTTTTTTCATGTGAGTTTCTTTTTACTGTTAATCATTGTTTAGATCACTTTTGTATTGAATTTTTAAAATTTGTTGACTAACCTGCACATTAAACAAAAATGGTTTCTTCTGTTTCTCCATTAAGGTATTTTCTCCATTTAGTAACAGGCTGTAGTTGCAAGTCCAGCTTATTATACCTTATAGCATATTTTACACAAGTAATATTTATCAATAAATTATTAAATAAAAAAGGCATACTGTACCAGTTTGTTCTGGGCCATTGTAGTCGATATTGGAGTAGCCGAGTTCCTGACCCCCCTTTACGAAAGCCTCTATAGTGCCTGTTATTTGTGATGGGGTGACTCCAATGGGTCCACCACGACCATGGAAGGCCTCTACCAGTTATAGAATTGGGTTAATAACAGAACATAGTACAGGTCGGCCATCACTAATCCAACATCATTTGGACTTGTAGTGTGCCGGATTAGTGAGTTTGCCAGATTACAGAGTTAGAATACACTTAATTAACCTATCAATAGACACTTTTTGCTAAATCTTCCTCATTTTCATTACTGCTTTCTCCTCCACTGATGAAATTTGAGTCAGTATCATGATGAAATTTGAGTCAGTACAATAATGAAATTAGAAATTACTAAGCTAGCTGAAATTAGTGCTGGATTACTGATGGAACTGGATAGCTGATTGCTGGATTAGTGATGGCCAACCTGTATACAGGCAGGCCCTGCTTTACAGCACTTCACTTTAAGGAGTTTCGCTAATGCACCAGTTGTCAGTTACAGTCATTCTTCATTTATTCAGACTTCCTACAATGAATATATTCATGACTCACCATAAGCTAAGGATGAAAATATTTTAAGGTAAGTAATGTGTGTACTGTACAGTGGACCCCCGGTTAACGATATTTTTTCACTCCAGAAGTATGATCAGGTGCCAGTACTGACTGAATTTGTTCCCATAAGAAATATTGTGAAGTAGATTAGTCCATTTCAGACCCCCAAACATACACGTACAAATGCACTTACATAAATACACTTACATAATTGGTCACATTCGGAGGTAATCGTTATGCGGGGGTCCACTGTATATGTATTTTTTAGGCCTACCTCTGTTGCTCACTTAATATATGATAGAGATATTACCTGTTCACTGTGATTTTATTACATTCATACATAGTATAATACAAGATAGTCTTTTATTGTCAAAATAGAGTACAAATATTGTATTGTAAAATTAAATATGGCAAATATCTTCCTCTGGATCAACTTTTTCTCCCTTTTGAACTTCATTTTTCCCTTCAAGGAGATGCCTTGATGCTCACACAGCCTTGATTCAAGGAATTGGAGCCATCCTTCCTTTCCACCACCAAAATACTGGTATGGTAATGTTAACTTTTAAAGGGGTGGAGAGGTAAGCCAGTGGAAGGCCTCGGTCAGATGACCAAAAGCTCCAGATGTGGGTCATCATATGACTAAGACCCGCGTCCGGAAACACTTGTCCTGGTTCCTGACAAACCGTACCTTACCTACCGTAACCTAAACTAACCTTCCTTTCCTCGAATCAAACCGTATTATACTTTTAATTTCCCAGGTGCTGTATGGCTAATGTAGCTCTTGTGGCTCCTCGTGAACATAATACAGAGCAGTAATTATGTAAGTATATAAACGATCCTTCACCCTTAGAAATAATTTTGATGATGCCTGGAATAGTTGATCCTATATAGGTAAATTCAGTTACTAGTGAGGACACCACTGCTCTTGGCATCCATGGTAGGAACATAGCTAATGTCTGCCACTCTACTTCTGTATATGCATCTCATACAAGCACACACACACACAGAGTGAAGAAGCAGGTCCAGTAGCTGAGTCTCGACCCCTGCAACCACAATTAGGTGAGTACAGTTAGGTGAGTACACACACACACACACACACACTAGCAGTGACTCAACCTCTGCAACTACATATAGGTGAGTGTGTGTGTGTGTGTGCATGGGCACACACACATACATGGATGGAAGGGAACACCAACAAGTGCTGGACACACTACACAACCAAGAAGGAGGTGAAGAGGCTGCTAAGTGAGCTAGATACCACAAAGGCAATGGGACTGGACACCTCTCCATGGCTCCTGAGAGAGAGAGAGAGCAGAAGTACTGTGTGAGCCATTAATAACAATCTTCAACACAGCTATCTAAACAGGGCATTTATTTCTGGTGTGGAAGACAGCAAAAGTAGTCCCAATCATTAAGAAAAGAGACAAACAGACAGCATTAAACTACAGATCAGTGTCAATGACATGTATAATATGCAGTCATAGCTAAGATTATCAGAAGAGTGGTGGAGCACCTAGAAAGGAACAAGCTTATAAACGATAACCAGCACGGTTTCAGGGAAGGAAAATCCTGTGTCACAAACCTACTGGAGTTTTACGACAAAGTGACAGAAGTAAGATGAGAGAGAGAAAGGAGAGTAGATAGATTGGATTTTCTTGGACTGTAAGAAAGTTTTCGACATAGTTCAGGACAAGAGATTAGTGCAAAAACTAGAGGAGCAGGCAGGAATAACAAGAAGGGCACTGAATGGATCAGAGAATACCTGACAAGAAGGAAACCACGAGTGATGGTATGTGGTGAGGTGTCAGAGTGGGTGGCTGTGACTAGTGGGATTCCCCAAGGGTCAGTCCTAGAGCCAGTGCTGTTTTTGATTTATGTGAATGACATGACAGAAAGGATAGATTCAGAGGTGTCCATGTTTGCAAACGATGTGAAGTTAATGCAGAAAATTCAAGTGGATGAGGATTAGGTAAGACTACAAGGGAATCTGAACAGGCTGCAAGCCTAGTCCAACAAATGGCTCCTGGAGTTTGACCCCCACTAAGTGAAAAGTCATGAAGATTGGGGAAGGTCAAAGAAGACTACAGGCAGAGTATAGACTAGGGGGGCCAAAGACTGCAAACCTCACTCAAGGAGTGTATAATGTTCGCCAAGACCATAGTCCTGGCACAGGTCCCAATCTTGCGATGACCCGTCTGCCTCACTCAAGGATCCTGGGCTGAGTATAATATAGAGCAAATCTCCTGAGGTGCACATCAACCAGATAACTCCTGCAGCATATAGGTGCCTGGCAAACCTAAAACACTATACACCATGTATGTCTGGCCCATACTGGAGTATGCAGCACCAGTATGGAACCTACACAATACACCTGATCAAGCATATCATGAAATTGGAGAAAGTGCAAAAGTTTGCAACAAGACTAGTTTCAGAGCTAAAGGACATGTCTAATATGGAGCAGTTAAGGGAAATCAACCTGATGACACTAGAAGATAGGTGGGAACATGATAACAATGTATAAAATACTGAGAAGAATTGACAAGGTGGACAGAGTTAGAAAGTTTCAGTGATGGGACACAAGAAGGGGACATAGTTAGAAGTTGATGAGTCATAGGGATGTTGGGAAGTATTTCTTTAGTCTCAGAGTTGTCAGGAAGAGGAACAATCTGGAGAGTGAAGTAGTGGAGGTAAGATCCATACATAGCTTTAAGAAGAGGTACGATAAGGCTATTGGAGCAGGGAGAGAGTGGACCTAGTAACAACCAGCAAAGCAGGTCCAGGAGGTGTGACTCAACTCCTGCAACCCAATAAAATAAAAACAGCCTGACACTAATCAGATAGAGAATGCACCTATAAATCTGCCTGGAGTTTACCTGGAAAGAGTTCTGGGGTTCAACGCCGCCATGGTCTGGTCTGTGACCAGGCCTCATGGTGGATCAGGGCCTGATCAACCAGGCTGTTACTACTGGCCGCATGCAATCCAAAGTATGAACCAAAGCCCGGCTGGTTAGGTACTGACTTTAGGTGCTTGTGCAGTGGAACACTGGAAAGTAATACGCGGGTTATAACTTACCAGTTTCCCGGACAGGCCCCCGATAATCCTCTTGTTTAATGAAGTACGGGAGGACGCTGAGGTAGTCCCAGCCTGGGTTGCCCACTGCTGCCCACTGGTCAAAGTCCCTCCTGTTACCTCTCACATATATCATAGAGTTGACCGTGGAGCCACCACCCAACACCCGCCCCTGGTGCTGCCTCGCCGCCTGCGGTGTTGCAAGATAAAAGAATAAAGGAATTTGAATTTAAGTACAGGTACAAGAAAGTCAGATTTATTTGCACTGAGGCTCTCGTTCAAGTGTCAAAATCCTTTTGCTGATCATGTGGATAGAATTTCACTTGGAAATTCAAATGTTCCATGGCATGGTTGGCAGCACACTTGCCTCACTTACTGAGTGTCCAGGGTTCAATCCCTAGCATGGGTGGAAACATTGAGCATGTTTCCTAAAACCTGCTGTCACTGTTCACCTAGAAATAAGTAGGTACCTGGGTGTCAGTTACCTTACACTTGCTGTCACTGTTCACCTAGCAGTAAGTAAGTACCTGGGTGTTAGTTATCTTACACCTTCTGTCACTGTTCACCTAGAAGTAAAAGGACCCCAATGGAAGTAAGTCACTCTGTCTGACTGTTTTGGGTTATCCCAGGTTCTCTACACATATGCTGCTATGTATGATAATTCTATGTAACTGTATTTGTGTATACCTGAATAAACAAACTTTGTTACTATTTCACTTCATTACCTAACATAATACTCCATTCTACTGATTACACAGCAACACAGTAAATGACCATATGACCTGTCTTTGTAATATACTCATTTGTACTAAATTGTTATCTGTTTTACAATAATTTTTGTACCACTGAATATATCATTGCTTGGTTAATCTTAAGTTAATTTTAAGTCTGCCCATAATGCTCTGCATACAAATGGCTTTGGCATGCTGCACTTAAAAATTGTATTCCTTGTACTTCTCTGTATCATGTTCAAATTAATAAATAAATAAATAAATAAATAAATAAACTTACTTACTTACTGTACTTGAGTGTTAGTGGACTGGTGTGGGTGGCATCCTGGGGGACAAGATTGAATGGCCACAATGGAAATAAGACAGACAGTCCTTGATGATGCACTGACTATCCTGGGTTATCCTGGGTGACTAACCCTCCCTACTCTGGGTTATCCTGGGTTATTAACCTTCCCTACCCTGGGTTACCCTGGGTGACTAACCTTCCCTACCCTGGGTTATCCTGGGTTATTAACCCTCCCTACCCTGGATTATCCTGGGTGACTAACCCTCCCTACCCTGGGTTATCCTGGGTTATTAACCCTCCCTACCCTAGGTTATCCTGGGTGACTAACCCTCCCTACCCTGGGTTATCCTGGGCTATTAACCCTCCCTACCCTGGGTTATCCTGGGTGACAAACACTCCCTACCCTGGGTTATCCTGGCTGGCTAACCCTCCCTACCCTGGGTTATCCTGGCTGGGTAACCCTTCCTACTCTGGGTTATCCTGGCTGGCTAACCCTTCCTACCCTGGGTTATCCTGGGTGACTAACACTCCTTACCCTGGGTTATCCTGAGTGGCTAACACTCCCTACCTTGGGTTATCCTGAGTGGCTAACACTCCCTACCCTGGGTTATCCTGGGTGGCTAACACTCCCTACCCTGGGTTATCCTGGTGGCTAACACTCCCTACCCTGGGTTATCCTGGGTGACTAACACTCCCTACCCTGGGTTATTCTGAGTGGCTAACACTCCCTACCCTGGGTTATTCTGGCTGGTTAACACTCCCTACCCTGGGTTATCCTGAGTGGCTAACACTCCCTACCCTGGGTTATCCTGGGTGACTAACACTCCCTACCCTGGGTTATCCTGGGTGACTAACACTCCCTACCCTGGGTTATCCTGGGTGGCTAACACTCCCTACTCTGGGTTATCCTGAGTGGCTAACACTCCCTACCCTGGGTTATTCTGAGTGGCTAACACTCCCTACCCTGGGTTATTCTGAGTGGCTAACACTCCCTACCCTGGGTGACTAGTCCACCTTGTCCCATGTTATCCTGGGTGACTAACCCTTTGGGGTTAAAAATCCCAACAAACTCTTATCTAACTAGTTCAATAGCCCAGTTGTTGCTGTAGCCTTACAAAAACCATCATAGTATATCTTATAATGGATAACTGACCGAAACCATGCCCAGCCCTTCTAGGGTAGGATAGGTGCCTGAGCCAGAGCTTGTAGCTCACAAGACTGTCATTCCCATTAGCCTCCTTGGGGCTTGGATGGCAGACCAGAGAGGCCTAGCTTGTGGCTAGGCCTGGGGACACTTGATCCCAAAGATGAGGAGGTAGGCCTGGGGACACTTGGTCCCAAAGATGAGGAGGTAGGCCTGGGGACACTTGGTCCCAAAGATGAGGAGCTAGGCCTGGGGACACTTGGTCCCAAAGATGAGGAGGTAGGCCTGGGGACACTTGGTCCCAAAGATGAGGAGCTAGGCCTTGGGACACTTGGTCCCAAAGATGAGGAAGTAGGCCTGGGGACACTTGGTCCCAAAGATGAGGAGCTAGGCCTGGGGACACTTGGTCCCAAAGATGAGGAGGTAGGCCTGGGGACACTTGGTCCCAAAGATGAGGAAGTAGGCCTGGGGACACTTGGTCCCAAAGATGAGGAGCTAGGCCTGGGGACACTTGGTCCCAAAGATGAGGAGGTAGGCCTGGGGACACTTGGTCCCAAAGATGAGGTAGGCCTGGGGACACTTGGTCCCAAAGATGAGGAGGTACTTGTACCTCCTCCCATGGGAGACTTAGGTCTCAGACACTCCCTAAAGAGGGAGTCAAGGCCGGGCCACCACTTGGAAAAGGCCCGGGCCGGAAGTATTGGCGAATCTTTAATAATAATAAAATAATAATGGCTAACTGATACTCATAATATTGAACTAGTATAGTATACCATTATAATGGATAATATTGAACTAGTATAGTATACCATTATAATGGATAATATTGAACTAGTATAGTATACCATTATAATGGATAATATTGAACTAGGATAGGATACCATTATAATGGATAATATTGAACACCTCAATTATTGGGAGCGCTTGAGGTTCCTAAACCTGTATTCCCTGGAACGCAGGAGGGAGAGATACATGATTATATACACCTGGAAAATCCTAGAGGGACTAGTACCGAACTTGCACATGAAAATCACCCACTACGAAAGCAAAAGACTTGGCAGACGATGCACCATCCCCCCAATGAAAAGCAGGGGTGTCACTAGCACGTTAAGAGACCATACAATAAGTGTCAGGGGCCCGAGACTGTTCAACTGCCTCCCAGCACACATAAGGGGGATTACCAACAGACCCCTGGCAGTCTTCAAGCTGGCACTGGACAAGCACCTAAAGTCAGTTCCGGATCAGCCGGCTGTGGCTCGTATGTTGGTTTGCGTGCAGCCAGCAGCAACAGCCTGGTTGATCAGGCTCTGATCCACCAGGAGGCCTGGTCTCAGACCGGGCCGCGGGGGCGTTGACCCCCGGAACTCTCTCCAGGTAAACTCCAGGTATACCATTATAATGGATAATATTGAACTAGGATAGTATACCTTATAATGGATAATATTAAACTAGTATAGTATACCATTATAATGGATAATATTGAACTAGTATAGTATACCTTATAATGGATAATATTGAACTAGGATAGTATACCTTATAATGGATAATATTGAACTAGGATAGTATACCATTATAATGGATAATATTGAACTAGGATAGTATACCTTATAATGGATAATATTGAACTAGTATAGTATACCATTATAATGGATAATATTGAACTAGGATAGTATACCCTATCAGAAATTCTGGGAACAAAAAAGATGTCACGAAATAGCGAAATAAAATTAGCAAAATCAGATGAACCCCAACTCCCACCAACTGAAACAGCAAACAGACTCAATGACTTCTTCTCCACTATAGGTCAAAACCTTGCCAATAAAATCCCAGGCTCAGATACCCCACCAAATGACTACCTCACCGCAACTACCCGAACACACTGTTCCTAGCTCCGACTAACCCATACGAAGTCTCCCTTATTATCAACGCACTGAAAACAAGGCAGGAGATTTAAATACCTTACCACCCTTTATATACAAAAAACTGTCACAAGTGCTATCACCAATCATTGCAACACTCTTTAACAAATCCATTGAATCCTCCACCTTCCCTACAGTTCTCAAAATAGCAAGGGTCACCCCGATCCATAAAGGAGGAGACCAAACAGAGTTGAATAACTATAGGCCAATATCCAACTTACACCCTCTCTCAAAAATCTTCGAAAAATTAATTCATAAACGAATTTACTCCTACCTTATCTCCCAAAACATACTCAAACCCCTGCCAAATTTGGATTTCAGGCCTAATAAAAATACTAATGATGCCATTATACACATGCTAGAACATATATACACTGCAATAGAGAAAAAAGAAGTCCCACTGGGGATCTTCATTGACTTACGTAAAGCTTTTGATACAGTTGACCATGACTTGCTCCACGTAAAATTGTCACACTATGGTATTAGAGGGCACTCCCTCAACTACCTCAAGTCATACCTCAGCAACAGAAGCCAATATGTGTATGCAAATGGGGCAAGCTCTTCCGCACAACCAATTACAGTTGGTGTCCCACAGGGAAGTGTCCTTGGCCCTCTTCTCTTTCTCATATACATAAATGACCTACCAAATGCTTCGCAATTACTCAAACCCACACTTTTTGCAGATGACACTACATACGTCTACTCTCACCCGAGCCCAGTCACGCTAGCCAATACTGTAAATACCGAATTACAGAAAATATTTACCTGGATGAGGACTAACAAACTTACACTAAACATTGACAAAACCTACTTCATTCAGTTTGGTAACAGAGCTACAGATGTCCCTCTTAACATAATGATAAACGGATCACCTATCACAAAACTCACAGAGGGAAAATTCTTAGGAATCCACCTTGATAATAGACTCAAATTTCATACACATATACAACAAATTTCTAAGAAAATTTCCAAGACTGTAGGCATACTATCGAAGATACGGTACTATGTTCCACAGTCAGCCCTCCTGGCCCTATATCACTCTCTTATTTACCCCTATCTCACCTATGGAATTTGTGCATGGGGCTCAACAACAATTAACCATCTCAGACCACTAATTACCCAACAAAAGGCTGCAGTTAGAATGATAACAAATTCTCACTACAGGGAGCACACTCCACCAATATTCAAAACACTCAACCTACTCACCATACAAAACATCCATACTTATTATTGCACCTATTACATACATAGAACACTTAACTCTGATATTAACCCTCCCCTCAAACATCTCCTTGCCAACCTCAACACAACACATGACCATAACACAAGGCACAGATCACTCTTTGATGTTCCTCGTGTCCATCTCACGTTATGCAAAAACTCAATGCACATAAAAGGCCCTAAAATCTGGAATTCATTACCTGTAAATATAAAAGAAACACTACCTGTTTATAAATTCAAGTCTCTTCTCAAAGATCACTTACTCACCCAAAACCAAATAAATACTGAATAACTGAACCTTATAAATTGTATATCTTAAATGTTTCTCACAATTATATCATAAATGTTAAACCTAAACCCCAAACTAACTTTATTATCTTGTGCTTATTATTATTAAAGATTACCCGGTATTCTCCCGGCCCGGGCCTTTTCCAAGTGGTGGCCCGGCCTTGGCTCCCTCTTGAGGGAGTGTCTGAGACCTAAGTCTCCCATGGGAGGAGGCACAAGTACCTCCTCATCTTTGGGACCAACTGTCCCCAGGCCTAGCCACAAGCTAGGCCTCTCTGGTCTGCCATCCCCGCCCCAAGGGGACAAATGGGAATGACAGTCTTATGAGCTAAAGGCTCGGGCTCAGGCACCTACCCTACCCTAGAATGGTTAGGCATGGTGTCGATCATCTTTATAGTAATCTGTTTACATTAATGTTTTATCACTGATTTCATCATTGCTTAGTTAATCTTAAGTTAATTTTAAGCCAGCCCGTAATGCTATGCATAGTATAAGTGGCTTTGGCATGCTGCTCTTATCTGTATTTTTTTGTACCTCTGTATGTGTGCTCAAATTGTAAATAAATAAATAAATAAGTAAATAAATAAATGGATAATATTGAACTAGGATAGTATACCATTATAATGGATAATATTGAACTAGGATAGTATACCATTATAATGGATAATATTGAACTAGGATAGTATACCATTATAATGGATCAAGAGATAAAAGTTGTTTCTACCAGTTTCTGCAGATATGTTACAATAAGTGTGGGTACAAGGTCAGCCAGGTGCAGGTATTTATACGGTATACCAGGTGTTAAAACTTGACACAGTTCAGAGGTCGTACCATGACATATTTATATCTGTCGTGTCAATTTACAGTGTCTCTCAGTGTATATACACTGGGAGGTTCATGTCTCTCAGTGTATATACACTGGGAGGTTCATGTCTCTCAGTGTATATACACTGGGAGGTTCATGTCTCTCAGTGTATATACACTGGGAGGTTCATGTCTCTCAGTGTCTATACACTGGGAGGTTCATGTCTCTCAGTGTATATACACTGGGAGGTTCATGTCTCTCAGTGTATATACACTGAGATGTGTATATACACTGAGATGTGTATGTCAGTGTATATACACTGAGATGTGTCTCTTAGTGTATATACACTGAGATGTGTCTCTTAGTGTATATACACTGAGATGTGTCTCTCAGTGTATATACACTGAGATGTGTCTCTCAGTGTATATACAGTGGTAAATCTAACACCAGTAGAAATAAGTCACTGACTTTTCTTAGTATTATTCTAGTGGGTCATTTACACTATGTATGATAATTGTAATTATGTGTTCCTGTTCTTAAATAAAGTTAATTATGAATCAAACAGGACATCATACCTTATTAATAAAGTTTTGGGAGGCATATTTCTGTGGTACCGTTCTGTACCCCCAGTCCAAGGAATACCTTGGTATGTAAGCTATGGGAGTGAAGCTTGGTATGTTGGTCTCCAAGGGTGGAGGAGGACCTGCCTCCAGTAAGAGTATCCTCCAGTGTGGTACTTCAGAGAGTCTGGCAGCCATCACACATCCTGCTGCTCCTCCACCCACTGTGGGCAAGTATATATGGTTAGTTAGTCCACCCACTGTGGGGAAGTATATTGGGTTAGTTAGTCCACCCACTGTGGGGAAGTATATTGGGTTAGCCCACCCACTGTGGGAAAGTATATTGGGTTAGTTCCACCCACTGTGGGGAAGTATATTGGGTTAGTCCACCCACTGTGGGGAAGTATATTGAGTTAGCTCCACCCACTGTGGGAAGTATACTGGGTTAGTTTAATATATTTATTATGCACCCCATACCCATCTTATGGGCAGTAGTCAAAAGATTACAGAGGAACATAATGGGTCCAGGAACTATACCTCAACATTAGAGGCACATAATGGATCTAGGTACTGGGCCACAAAGTTTTGATAGCTTAAGTTATAATGCTAACGAACTATTTACAGTCAATAATAATTTATTTATGCAGACGTTAATTAGGTCACACACCCAGCAACACATCAAGTGACAGTTCTGGTAGTAAATGTGAGGCTTTTCTCTGATTTTATTTATTTACGACCCACAGTCGTGAGTACCTCACTAGGTTAGATACTAGAGGCTAGGTGGGTCGTGTGTACCTCACTAGGTTAGATACTAGAGGCTAGGTAGGACGTGTGTACCTCACTAGGTTAGATACTAGAGGCTAGGCAGGTCGTGAGTACCTCACTAGGTTAGATACTAGAGGCTAGCTAGGTTGTGAGTACCTCACTAGGTTAGATACTAGAGGCTAGGTAGGTCGTGTGTACCTCACTAGGTTAGATACTAGAGGCTAGGTAGGTCGTGTGTACCTCACTAGGTTAGATACTAGAGGCTAGCTAGGTTGTACCTCACTAGGTTAGATACTAGAGGCTAGGTAGGTCGTGTGTACCTCACTAGGTTAGATACTAGAGGCTAGGTAGGTCGTGTGTACCTCACTAGGTTAGATACTACCTGGAGTTTACCTGGAGAGAGTTCCGGGGGTCGACGCCCCCGCGGCCCAGTCTGTGACCAGGCCTCCTGGTGGATCAGAGCCTGATCAACCAACCAACTAGAGGCTAGGTAGGTCGTGTGTACCTCACTAGGTTAGATACTAGAGGCTAGCTAGGTTGTGAGTACCTCACTAGGTTAGATACTAGAGGCTAGGCAGGTCGTGTGTACCTCACTAGGTTAGATACTAGAGGCTAGCTAGGTTGTGAGTACCTCACTAGTTTAGATACTAGAGGCTAGGCAGGTCGTGAGTACCTCACTAGGTTAGATACTAGAGGCTAGCTAGGTCGTGAGTACCTCACTAGGTTAGATACTAGAGGCTAGCTAGGTCGTGAGTACCTCACTAGGTTAGAGACCAGAGACTAGCTAGGTCGTGAGTACCTCACTAGGTTAGATACTAGAGGCTAGCTAGGTCGTGAGTACCTCACTAGGTTAGAGACCAGAGACTAGCTAGGTCGTGAGTACCTCACTAGGTTAGATACTAGAGGCTAGCTAGGTCGTGAGTACCTCACTAGGTTAGAGACCAGAGACTAACTAGGTCGTGAGTACTTCACTAGGTTAGAGACCAGAGGCTAGCTAGGTCGTGAGTACCTCACTAGGTTAGAGACCAGAGACTAGCTAGGTCGTGAGTACTTCACTAGGTTAGAGACCAGAGACTAGCTAGGTCGTGAGTACCTCACTAGGTTAGATACTAGAGGCTAGCTAGGTCGTGAGTACCTCACTAGGTTAGAGACCAGAGGCTAGCTAGGTCGTGAGTACCTCACTAGGTTAGAGACCAGAGGCTAGCTAGGTCGTGAGTACCTCACTAGGTTAGAACAGGCTAGAACAGGTCGCTCCTGTCTGTCTCAACTATTGGACCACTACGACAAGGTCCTAAATGCAATAGAAGACAAAAAGAATGCAGATGTAATATATACAGACTTTGCAAAAGCCTTCGACAAGTGTGACCATGGCGTAATAGCGCACAAAATGCGTGCTAAAGGAATAACAGGAAAAGTCGGTCGATGGATCTATAATTTCCTCACTAACAGAACACAGAGAGTAGTCGTCACAGAGTAAAGTCCGAGGCAGCTACGGTGAAAAGCTCTGTTCCACAAGGCACAGTACTCGCTCCCATCTTGTTCCTCATCCTTATATCCGACATAGACAAGGATGTCAGCCACAGCACCGTGTCTTCCTTTTGCAGATGACACCCGAATCTGCATGACAGTGTTTCCATTGCAGACACTGCAAAGCTCCAGGTAGACATCAACCAAATCTTTCAGTGGGGTGCAGAAAACAATATGAAGTTCAACGATGAGAAATTTCAATTACTCAGATATGGTAAACATGAGGAAATTAAATCGTCATCAGAGTACAAAACAAATTCTGGCCACAAAATAGAGCGAAACACCAACGTCAAAGACCTGGAGTGATCATGTCGGAGGATCTCACCTTCAAGGACCATAACATTGTATCAATCGCATCTGCTAGAAAAATGACAGGATGGATAATGAAACCTTCAAAACTAGGGAGGCCAAGCCCATGATGACACTCTTCAGGTCACTTGTTCTATCTAGGCTGGAATATTGCTGCACACTTACAGCACCTTTCAAGGCAGGTGAAATTGCCGACCTAGAAAATGTACAGAGAACTTTCACGGCGCCCATAACGGAGATAAAACACCTCAATTATTTGGGGGCGCTTGAGGTTCCTAAACCTGTATTCCCTGGAACGCAGGAGGGAGAGATACATGATTATATACACCTGGAAAATCCTAGAGGGACTAGTACCGAACTTGCACACGAAAATCACTCATTACGAAAGCAAAAGACTTGGCAGACGATGCACCATCCCCCCAATGAAAAGCAGGGGTGTCACTAGCACGTTAAGAGACCATACAATAAGTGTCAGGGGCCCGAGACTGTTCAACTGCCTCCCAGCACACATAAGGGGGATTACCAACAGACCCCTGGCAGTCTTCAAGCTGGCACTGGACAAGCACCTAAAGTCAGTTCCGGATCAGCCGGGCTGTAGCTCGTATGTTGGTTTGCGTGCAGCCAGCAGCAACAGCCTGGTTGATCAGGCTCTGATCCACCAGGAGGCCTGGTCTCAGACCGGGCCGCGGGGGCGTTGACCCCCGGAACTCTCTCCAGGTAAACTCCAGGTAAACTCCAGAGACCAGAGACTAGCTAGGTCGTGAGTACCTCACTAGGTTAGATACTAGAGGCTAGCTAGGTCGTGAGTACCTCACTAGGTTAGAGACCAGAGGCTAGCTAGGTCGTGAGTACCTCACTAGGTTAGAGACCAGAGACTAGCTAGGTCGTGAGTACCTCACTAGGTTAGATACTAGAGGCTAGCTAGGTCGTGAGTACCTCACTAGGTTAGAGACCAGAGGCTAGCTAGGTCGTGAGTACCTCACTAGGTTAGAGACCAGAGACTAGCTAGGTCGTGAGTACCTCACTAGGTTAGAGACCAGAGACTAGCTAGGTCCAGAGTGAAAGCTGTCAGACATACTTCTATTTCCAGGCATCTCATGGATTTTAAATGGTTTCACTAAGTTTTTATTTCCTATAAGTATTATTTTCACCTTGTGTTTATCTTGAGAGAGGTTGAAAAAATATTTTAATTCTGATTATTAGTCCGGAGGGTTAGTAGTAATCCAGGATAACCCAGTAAAGCCACTGTCATCAGAATATCTGGCTTATTTACATGAATAATTTACTTACATCTCTCCTGACAATGTTAATGATTGGTTAATGGGTCATTAACCAACATTTTCACCACCAAAGAATAATTCTTAAGATCTTATATATAGTACACAGTTCTAGGCGTATATATAATAACCTTCTAGTTAACTTATTCTTCGACATTTTGCTTCATTACCTTTGTAACTTGTGAGCTCATTACCTTTGTACCTAGTTCAGCTGTCAAAACTTTGGGGGCCCAGTCCCTGGACCCATTACGTACCTCTGTAATCTGTAAATACCTTTGTAACTTGTCATGATTGTGACCAGACTTACCTGGAGTTCATTACCTTTGTAAATTGTGAGTTCATTACCTTTGTAAATTGTGAGTTCATTACCTTTGTAAATTGTGAGTTCATTACCTTTGTAAATTGTGAGTTCATTGCCTCTGTAACTTGCTCAGCTATCAAAACTTTGGAGTCCAGTCCCTGGACCAATTATGTACCTCTGTAATCTTTTGACTACCGCCCACAGGATGGGTATGGGGTGACTACCGCCCACAGGATGGGTATGGGGTGCATAATAAACATATTAAACTAACTAACTAACATTTTGCTTTGGTTTACCCTCGACTCGCATATACAGTGGACCCTCGAATTTAGTCCTGCCTTTTCAAGTAAGTTTATTCAGGTATACACAAATACAGTTACATAGAATTATCATACATAGCACCATATGTGTAGAGAACCTGGGATAACCCAAAAAAGTATGCAAGACTATTTTTATTATCTATAAAATGTATTTTTTGTTAATATTTTAGGGTGTCTGGAATGGTTTAATTGGATTTACATTATTTCCTATGGGAAATATTAAAAAAAAAAATACATTTTATAGATAATAAAAATAGTTTTGCATACAGAAAAGGCACGACTAAATTCGAGGGTCCACTGTATTTACGTTTTATGTCACCAGTAATAATTTTATATGATAGTTTTAAATTATACGATGGTTTAAATAGAATCTTCATTCTTTTTAATATGTCTTCAGCGGTTTTTATGTTTTGAAAGCTTTGTATTATTAGTTTTTATTAGTATTAACTGGAGTGAGGGGTCGTCGCCCCCTCGGCCCGATCCCAGACCAGGTCTTCTGCTTACTGGCTTGATCAACCAGGCTGTTGGTGCTGGGTCTGGTCTACTATGAAGGAAGTTTGAACAGACGTGAATGAAAACGAACACTAATGGCAGTCCTTGTTTGATCCACTGTGTCAGGTTCCTCCTTGTTTGATCCACTGTGTCAGGTTCCTCCTTGTTTGATCCACTGTGTCAGGTTCCTCCTTGTTTGATCCACTGTGTCAGGTTCCTCCTTGTTTGATCCACTGTGTCAGGTTCCTCCTTGTTTGATCCACTGTGTTTAGTTCCCCTTGTTTGATCACTTGTCAGGTTCCTCCTTGTTTGATCCACTGTGTCAGGTTCCTCCTGTTGATCCACTTGTCAGTTCCTCCTTGTTTGATCCACTGTGTCAAGTTCCTCCTTGTTTGATCCACTGTGTCAGGTTCCTCCTTGTTTGATCCACTGTGTCAGGTTCCTCCTTGTTTGATCCACTGTGTCAGGTTCCTCCTTGTTTGATCCACTGTGTCAGGTTCCTCCTTGTTTGATCCACTGTGTCAGGTTCCTCCTTGTTTGATCCACTGTGTCAGGTTCCTCCTTTTTGATCCCCTGTGTCAGGTTCCTCCTTGTTTGATCCACTGTGTCAGGTTCCTCCTTGTTGATCCACTGTGTCAGGTTCTCTTGTTTGATCCACTGTGTCAGGTTCCTTCTTGTTTGATCACTGTGTCAAGTTCCTCCTTGTTTGATCCACTGTGTCAAGTTCCTCCTTGTTTGATCCACTGTGTCAGGTTCCTCCTTGTTTGATCCACTGTGTCATGTTCCTCCTTGTTTGATCCACTGTGTCAGGTTCCTCCTTGTTTGATCCACTGTGTCAGGTTCCTTCTTGTTTGATCACTGTGTCAAGTTCCTCCTTGTTTGATCCACTGTGTCAAGTTCCTCCTTCTTTGATCACTGTGTCAAGTTCCTCCTTGTTTGATCCACTGTGTCAGGTGCTCCCTTTTTTGATACTGTGTCAAGTTCTCCTGTTTGATCACTGTGTCAAGTTCCTCTTGTTTGATCACTGTTCAAGTTCTCCTTGTTTGATCACTGTGCAATCCTCCTTGTTGATCCACTGTGTCAGGTTCCTTCTTGTTTGATCACTGTGTCAAGTTCCTCCTTGTTTGATCCACTGTGTCAAGTTCCTCCTTGTTTGATCCACTGTGTCAGGTTCCTCCTTGTTTGATCCACTGTGTCAGGTTCCTCCTTGTTTGATCCACTGTGTCAGGTTCCTTCTTGTTTGATCACTGTGTCAAGTTCCTCCTTGTTTGATCACTGTGTCAAGTTCCTCCTTGTTTGATCACTGTGTCAAGTTCCTCCTTGTTTGATCCACTGTGTCAGGTTCCTCCTTGTTTGATCATTGTATCAAGTTCCTCCTTGTTTGATCCACTGTGTCAGGTTCCTCCTTGTTTGATCACTGAGTCAAGTTCCTCCTTGTTTGATCCACTGTGTCAGGTTCCTCCTTGTTTGATTCACTGTGTCAAGTTCCTCTTTGTCTGATCCACTGTGTCAGGTTCCTCCTTGTTTGATCCACTGTGTAAAGTTCCTCTTTGTTTGATCCACTGTGCAGTTCCTCTTGTTTGATCACTGTGTAAAGTTCCTTTTGTTTGATCACTGTGTTAAAGTTCCTCTTGTTTGATCCACTGTGTCAGGTTCCTCCTTGTTTGATCCACTGTGTCAGGTTCCTCCTTGTTTGATCCACTGTGTCAGGTTCCTCCTTGTTTGATCCACTGTGTCAAGTTCATCCTTGTTTGATCCACTGTGTTAAGTTCTTTCTTGTTTGATCTAATGTGTCAAGTTCCTTCCTGTTTGATCCACTGTGTCAAGTTCCTTCCTTTTTGAGCCACTGTGTCAAGTTCTGTCCTGTTTGATCCACTGTTTGTAGATGAATGGTTCAGAGAACCGACACGTTGATAAATTAGACACATGTGCAACTCTTGGGTATCTTTATTGAGGAAACGTTTCGCCACACAGTGGCTTCATCAGTCCATACAAAGGAGAATCTTGAAGAACAGGAGGAGAATGAGGTAATCAGTCCCTCAACCTCAACAAATGTGACACCACCTACGACTGCTACACCTCTCCTACCAACGGTTTATAAGCTCCTTCTCCGCACGTATGCCGTATTCTATTCAAGATTGATGGACTGACCACATCGACTCAAGGTTGAGGGAATGATTACCTCATTCTCCTCCTGTTCTTCAAGATTCTCCTTTGTATGGACTGATGAAGCCACTGTGTGGCGAAACGTTTCCTCAATAAAGATACCCAAGAGTTGCACATGTGTCTAATTGATCCACTGTGTCAAGTTCCTTCTTGTTTGATCCAGTGTGCCATGTTCCTCCTTTTTGAGTCACTGTGTCAAGTTCCGTCCTGTTTGATCCACTGTGTCAAGTTCCTTACTGTTTGATCCACTGTGTCACTTAGTTCCTTACTGTTTGATCCACTGTGTCAAGTTCCTTCCTGTTTGATCCACTGTGTCAAGTTCCGTCCTGTTTGATCCACTGTTTCAAGTTCTGTCCTGTTTGATCCACTGTGTCACTTAGTTCCTTACTGTTTGATCCACTGTGTCAAGTTCTGTCCTGTTTGATCCACTGTGTCACTTAGTTCCTTACTGTTTGATCCACTGTGTCAAGTTCTGTCCTGTTTGATCCACTGTGTCACTTAGTTCCTTACTGTTTGATCCACTGTGTCAAGTTTTGTCCTGTTTGATCCACCTGTGTCACTTGTTCCTTACTGTTTGATCCACTGTGTCAAGTTCTGTCTGTTTGATCACTGTGTCACTTAGTTCCTTACTGTTTGATCCACTGTGTCAAGTTCTGTCCTGTTTGATCCACTGTGTCACTTAGTTCCTTACTGTTTGATCCACTGTGTCAAGTTCTGTCCTGTTTGATCCACTGTGTCAAGTTCTGTCCTGTTTGATCCACTGTGTCAAGTTCCTTCCTGTTTGATCCACTGTGTCAAGTTCTGTCCTGTTTTGACACTGTGTCACTTAGTTCCTACTGTTTGATCCATGTGTCAAATTTGTCCTGTTTGATCCACTGGTCAGTTCTGTCCTGTTTGATCACTGTGTAAGTTCCTTCCTGTTTGATCACACTGTGTCAGTTCTGTCCTGTTTATCCCCTGTGTCACTTATTCCTTACTGTTTGACCATGTGTCAAAGTTCTGTCCGTTTGATCCACTGTGTCACTTAGTTCCTTACTGTTTGATCCACTGTGTCAAGTTCTGTCCTGTTTGATCCACTGTGTCAAGTTCCTTCCTGTTTGATCCACTGTGTCAAGTTCTGTCCTGTTTGATCCACTGTGTCAAGTTCCTTCCTGTTTGATCCACTGTGTCACTTTGTTTATGTTTGATCCACTGTTAAGTTCTGTCCTGTTTGATCCACTGTGTCACTTAGTTCCTTACTGTTTGATCCACTGTGTCACTTAGTTCCTTACTGTTTGATCCACTGTGTCAAGTTCTGTCCTGTTTGATCCACTGTGTCACTTAGTTCCTTACTGTTTGATCCACTGTGTCAAGTTCTGTCCTGTTTGATCCACTGTGTCAAGTTCTGTCCTGTTTGATCCACTGTGTCAAGTTCTGTCCTGTTTGATCCACTGTGTCACTTAGTTCCTTCCTGTTTGATCCACTGTGTCAAGTTCCGTCCCGTTTGATCCACTGTGTCAAGTTCGTCTTTTGAAACCACTGTGTCACTTAGTTCCTTCCTGTTTGATCCACTGTGTCAAGTTCCGTCCTGTTTGATCCACTGTGTCAAGTTCTGTCCTGTTTAATAATAATAAACAAAAATACCCAAACAAAAATCTAATCAATATTAAAATGAGAATAATTAGTCAACAAAAGCAATAATCTTACCTATTATAAAGTCATAGTCAGCAGCCAGAGGTCCATTTATCTCGAAGAGATCTTTACCAGCCTCCGGTAAGACAGTCAACAACAGCAGACGTAATATTGGCAGTAAAAAATTGGTTGTGGCGCCCACTATTGAGTCCCTCAACACACTGATGTCCACCATCTTGTACACCTGCAACAAGATGATATATGGTTCGATCCCTGGTACGGGTGGAAACATTGGGGCGTGTTTCTTTAATTAAGGCATTTGCTGTCTCTGCTCACCTAGCAGTAGGTAGGTACCTGGGTGTTAGTCACCTTAAACCTGCTGTCACTGTTCACCTAGCAGTAGGTAGGTGCCTGGGTGTTAGTTGACTGGTGTGGGTCGCATCCTGAGGACAAGGGGCTTTCTGTATAGTAATATGTCACTGATGTCAGCTATGGTCTGTATACCTTGTACATGTACTGGTAGGAATATTATTATTGTTGAGCTGTATCTCCTGTATCCCAAAAGTTGTTAATGACCTTCTAACGCAGAATTCTTTGTTAAATTCATCACTAATGTGTACACTAGCCTATACTATTACCCTCCCTTAACCCGAACACCTCCCACATGAGGCCACTTACATCCAGGTAACTGGTTTTTTTACACAAATAACCCGCACATAAAAGAGAGAAGCTTACGACGACGTTTCGGTCCGACTTGGACCATTGACAAAGTCGTCGTAAGCTTCTCTCTTTTATGTGCGGGTTATTTGTGTATCGTTCCAGTCACGGTATTGTGCCTTTTTGTTATTTATTAACTGGTTTTTTGTTATTTTTAACGTTGGTTAATGAAGATGGTACCTGTAGTGGTAAGGTCATGGTTCAGGTCGTATATTATACCTGATTTTTATCGTTTATGATCAATGTTTTGCCCTTTCAGTCTCAATTGTTGTTTTTCTGGTAATTACATCGACAGTTGAACACCAAGAGAATCACCCCAGAGAAGAAAATACTTTCACTATAATTCGTCGTCTTGCTGTCTTAAAAGTTTAGTAGTAGTTTAATGTGTTTATTATGCACCCCATACCCATCCTGTGGGTGGTAGTTATTGGCTGTCTTAAAAGGCCTCGGATATTACACTATTGTTGACCCATTTACAAACTGCCAGCACTATCCCTGAATCCCTTAATAGATATAACATTGCTGACACTCCAACAGCACATTAACTCCCACGAACCACTCGTCCATAAACTCCCACTTAACACGTCAAATATGGATATTCCAGTTCCTGCCTCCCTCAATCTCTGTCCTCTAATGTCACACAAACTTCTCACTAACACCTTTACACACATTACTCAACCTTCATCAATACTATGAATTAACAGATGAGTCTGTGGAGAATAAGTTGACACAATCGCAGCCATGTGTCTAACCTAATCCACTCCCTGTTCATGCCTTCCAATCTGCCAATCCTTAGATTCCCTACAGTTCCAGTCATTTTTATAATCATCTTTATTTCAATATTCCTTTCCATTCCTTAGTTTGTGTACACTGAGATTCACCCATCAACCTCCAGTTTCTCTTCCTAAACCCTCAAACAACTGTTATCATCTGCTAACAATATTTAATGCCAACTTACAGTAATTAATAACTTTTTTCCAGACCACAACTTTAAAACTAATTATCATTATTTCTCTCAAAGAGGTTACCTGGAGTCTACCTGGAGGATATTCCGGGGGTCAACGCCCCCGTGGTCCGGTCCATGACCAGGCCACGGTTTACCTTAGTGCTCTGAAACATCTCTTAGACCTCCCCTCCCCTTCCTTGGATCAAACCTGATTATCTCCCCATGATTTAGTGCTCCTTCATAAATATCTAATAATAATAATAATAATAATAATAATAATAATAATAATAATAATAATAATAATAATAATGTAAGTGTTCCCTAAAGGGTATAATAATTTTGTGTCGATATCGAAATTAGAAATCACAAAACTTTAGATTTAGATAATTGACTGAAAGTGACTGGTCAACTTTGATATAATGTTTGACATGTACAATGAACAATTTCAAAGGTTTGACAGAGTCACTGAGGGTTTTATAGGGCCGACAAATACCCTGAAAAGTTTTAATATAGGCTGGATAATTACGAGTGATAATGGTGATATATAAAAAAACAACTACATAGCATTGAAACATTAGGTGTTTCCTCAAGGTACCTACTGTCCATGTTAACACATCAGTAAAATAGGTACCTGGGTATTAGTCGACTGGTGTGGGTCGCACCCTGGTACAAAAATTGGCCTAATTTGCCTGAAATGGTCAGCATAACAAGTGACTTTGTATATAGTAGTATGTCACTGATGTCAGCTAAGCTTTTGTACATGTACTTGTAGAAGTCAATATATTGTTATGGGTCACAAAACTTCAACATCAACTAGAGAAAAAAGTTAAATGGTTTATAAGACCGAGAACAATAGATTGTTTATAAAGGCGCTGGTATAAGAGTGAATGATGGTACTAAGTGTTAATACCAGTATACCAGAACACTGGAACAACAACCAGGGATGACTATAAATAAGAGTGTATGATGGTACTAAGAGTTAATACCAGACACTGGAACAACAAAACCAGGGATGACTATAAATAAGAGTGTATGATGGTACTAAGTGTTAATACCAGAACACTGGAACAACAACCAGGGATGACTTTAAATAAGAGTGTATGATGGTACTAAGTGTTAATACCAGAACACTGGAACAACAACCAGGGATGACTATAAATAAGAGTGTATGATGGTACTAAGAGTATACCAGAACACTGGGAAAAACAAACCCGGATGACTATAAATAAGAGTGTATGATGGTACTAAGAGTTAATACCAGAACACTGGAACAAGAGCCCGGGATGACTATAAATAAGAGTGTATGGGTGGTACTAAGAGTTAATACCAGAACACTGGAACAACAACCAGGGATGACTATAAATAGAGTGTATGATGGTACTAAGAGTTAAAAACCAGAACACTGGAAACAACAACCAGGGATGACTATAAATAAGAGTGTATGATGGTACTAAGAGTTAATACCAGAACACTGGAACAACAACCAGGGATGACTATAAATGTGTATGATGATACTAAGAGTTAATACCAGAACACTGGAACAACAACCAGGGATGACTATAAATGTGTATGATGGTACTAAGAGTTAATCCAGAACACTGGAACAACAACCAGGGATGACTATAAATAAGAGTGTATGATGGTACTAAGAGTTAATACCAGAACACTGGAACAACAACCAGGGATGGACTATAAATGGTATGATGATAAATAAGAGTTAATACCAGAACACTGGAACAACAACCAGGGATGACTATAAGTGTGTATGATAGTACTAAGAGTTAATACCAGAACACTGGAACAAGAGCCAGGGATGACTTTAAATAAGAGTGTATGATGGTACTAAGTGTTAATACCAGAACACTGAAACAACAACCAGGGATGACTATAAATAAGAGTGTATGATAGTACTAAGTTAATACCAGAACACCGGAACAATAACCAGGGATGACTATAAATAAGAGTGTATGATGGTACTAAGTGTTAATACCAATATACCAGAACACTGGAACAACAACCAGGGATGACTATTAATAAGAGTGTATGATAGTACTAAGAGTTAATACCAGAACACTGGAACAACAACCAGGGATGACTATAAATAAGAGTGTATGATGGTACTAAGAGTTAATACCAAAACACTGGAACAAGAGCCAGGGATGACTATAAAGACACTGACAATAAATACCAGAGAAGATACGAATATGGAGAACAGTAATTGTCTCGTCGCCACCACGAGTTATACTGACTCTCTCACTAACAATTTATACCTCAGTCAAGTGTTTCTCTGTGGTCACCTTGACCTTGACCTTGACCTCTGACATCACACTGTCTCACTCTACCAGATTAATGTCAGGTATTAGAGTACACTCACTGCCTCAGATTACAAGATTAATGTATATCTGTACTGACGGTATAAACCTTGGTAATAAATACCGACAAGTTGGTTTAGAAAGACACGTAAGCAAACACTATGACATATTTATTAGAAAACGTTTCGGTCCTGGGCCCTGGATCACTTCTTGAATCACATGTTAGAGTGTCAAGGTCCCAGGACCGAAACGTTTTCAAATAAATATGTCATAGTTTTTGCTTACGTGTCTTTCAAAAACCAATCTGTACTGAACCTAGTGTAGTAAGTTACAAGTTTAAATGTATATCTGCACTGACCTAGTTTTGTAGTAAGTCCCGCTTACACGGAGGCCCCGGGTTCGATTCCCGGCGGGTGGAAACATTTCGACACGTTTCCTTACACCTGTTGTCCTGTTCACCTAGCAGCAAATAGGTACCTGGGTGTTAGTCGACTGGTGTGGGTCGCATCCTGGGGGACAAGATTAAGGACCACAATGGAAATAAGTTAGACAGTCCTCGATGACGCACTGACTTTCTTGGGTTATCCTGGGTGGCTAACCCTCCGGGGTTAAAAATCCGAACGAAATCTTATCTTATCTTATCTTATGTATATCTGCACTGACACCTAGTGTAGTAAGTTACAAGATTAATGTATATCTGTACTGACACCTAGTGTAGTAAGTTACAAGATTAATGTATATCTGTACTGACACCTAGTGTAGTAAGTTACAAGATTAATATATATCTACACTGACACCTAGTGTAGTAAGTTACAAGATTAATATATATCTACACTGACACTAGTGTAGTAAGCTACAAGATTAATATATATTACATGACACCTAGTGTAGTAAGTTACAAGATTAATAAAATATCTAATCATGGCACCTAGTGTAGTAAGTTACAAGATTAATATATATCTACACTGACACCTAGTGTAGTAAGTTACAAGATTAATATATATCTACACTGACACCTAGTGTAGTAAGTTACAAATTAATGTATTTCTACACTGACACCTAGTGTAGTAAGTTCAAGATTATATATATCTACACTGAAAACCTTTGTGTAGTAAGTTACAAGATTAATATATATCTACACTGACACCTAGTGTAGTAAGTTACAAGATTAATGTATACTACACTGACACCTAGTGTAGTAAGCTACAAGATTAATATATATCTACACTGACACCTAGTGTAGTAGTTACAAGATTAATATATATCTACACTGACACCCAGTGTAGTAAAAATTACAAGATTAATATTTTATTAAATGACACCTTGTGTAGTAAGTTACAAATTAAAAATATATCTACACTGACACCTAGTGTAGTAAGTTACAAGATTAATATATATCTACACTGACACCTAGTGTAGTAAGTTACAAGATT